GTTTGAACTCTGTATTCAAACGTCTGGACATGAAGTCAGTTTTTGCAACAGCGGTTGCAACTGTTACGTTGCAAAAAGAAATCATTTTCTTCGCATTAAAATATCGCCTTATTCAATGTCAAGACAGAGACCAGAAAATTTGTTGTCAAAGGTCTGATGGCCTACAGACAGGTCACTGAAAACAAAGGAATCGCAAGTACTACACTCAGGACACGCCCTGTTTTTACAGTTTATCGAGAATGGCTTTGAAAATCGTAGATCGTTGATTGAAGGAAGGGAGAACTTGCTAACTGTAGATGTAAATAGATTATAGGGCACTGCAAAAACGTCACCATAGGATGAACAATGGTGGATTTTCTCGAGACATGTCATACTCAACATTCACTCCCTCCACCACACCCATAACAAGGACAGCTTTCATCGAGATGGCTTCAATCATGATCATGCTTGCTTCGTGTTTGATCATAATCATATATGAAGTAAATTAAAAATCATTGAAACTCGGTATAATGCTAACCTGACAACAAATGTGAAACTGCACCCAATTTTTTCAGTAGATTATTTTAGTTGACATTTTTGTAATTTAGTTGTATATTCTTTATATAATCGTTTATATTTTTATATTTGTGTTACCTAGCAACCGAAGGTAGTATTATAACACTAAAAAGCTATGGTTATCGAGCGGTGTCCTGGTCCTTCCTCTCGATGTGACCACACCCCGTGAGTCTTATTCCTGGAACTCCCCTTACTGTGGACGAAAGTTTGGTAATGTCAGGGACTCGAAAGACGCTAACCATTGAGCCATCTTCACATAACGTAATGTCATTGAGATAGTCATGATGTTTTACCGCCCTTGGTATCGCCCTTGCAATGTTTTAAAGTAATCTCGTAAGTAGGGAATTTAGTAACTTCGTCTGTAATATTGGAAACAAACTTTGGTTGACACTAAAAAGCTGGGCCAGAAAATTAGATAAACGCTTTACAAATTTGCTGAAGCAATAACAGAGGCAGCAATATGTGACGATCCGTTTAGACTTTTCACCATATATATTGCATATTATTCTGGTTACAAAGCAAATTAGCTTGTATATAAATATGATCAAAGAATCCAAAAGTTTTATATCGTCTTGATAAACCACACAAGATTTTCATTCAGAAGTTTCTACCTTCTCAGAATTCAAATCGAACCACATATAAAAACATTAAGATATGTAGAAACACCAGAAAAACAGAAAGAGAGGACTTGACAGCTAAAAACGTGCATGCTGAATTCTTGTGTTCTATTTTGATAGTCCGCCTTTCAGATTTCATTACCAAGAAATTATTTATCAGTTATTGTAGACCTCATGTTGTTAGAAAATAAGAATGAATAACCAGAATAAAACATCAGTCAAAATTTGTCTTGGCATCAACTTGAATGATTCTTTGCAAAACATTACGTGGACCTCCCCTGCAGGGATCCAGATGAACAGGTTCGGTGAAACGATGTTGTAGGATAATATTTTCAGCATTTCTTTAAGCTTGTTGACGAGATGGGCAGAAAACATGAAACATTGTTGCGTTGGATTGAGCTGCGTGTCCTGTCGTGGATTATAATATTTAAGCATTATTTTTAGACTAAGGAATTTCGACTCTGTTGGATTTTGATTATTAAATTGCTTCTGTTCCTAAATCATGATTGCTGGCAGGAATGCTAGCGTCAAAAAAGTAAAACATGAAAACCACCGTGGGTACCTTAAGCAACACGTGAAACACCGTGGGTACCTTAAACTATGGATACCTTAAGCAACACGTGAAAAGATTAGAAAACAGAAAACCAATTAGGCCTATCAAAATCAAAGCCTGTTTTTCTTCCTGGTCGGTTTGATTGGTAAGTTTTATTGATGCGGTAAAGACAGACTCATATTAATAATTAGTAGTGATAAGATTCAATCAAAGACCTGAAGATTTCAACACTTGGGCACCGTTTTCAATGAAGCTTGTTCAATAGTTTGTACTGAACAGGCCAAATACGTGGTACCTCAAGGCTCCTCTTGAGGCACACTTCTATTTATTACGGGCATAGACGGTTTTACGCGCTATTCAGCGAGAACTTGCCAAATCTTGATAATGGAATAATGGTTCCTTTTGTGTCTACGTTTTTTAGAGATAATGATATATTTCATCCTCGTTTTTTCAGATACAATAATATATTTCAGATGTAATCATAAAATCTGGCAATTTTCAGTAATTTTGAAAAGGGACATAAAAAATTAAAATGGGATGAAAAATCGGACGTTTATCGAGCACTTGACATTTGATAACGGATGAGAAATTTACGCAGACGTGGAGTAATCTGTGTACTTTAAAAGCTATAAACTTTGCTCAAGAGCTAAATGTAAGAGATGACTAGCTGAGATGGAAAACTAAGCAAATACTGTGATGTCAATATTGATTGAGAGCAAACGTTAGATGGCTTCTATCGAAAGGATCTCTGGAGCATTGCGTCCAACTAAAAGATATTTCCATTTACATACAATATCAGAATACTGACAGGGGCATAATTTTGAAATTGCAGCAATGCTGGTGTTAGGTGTTAAACGTATAAAACAATGTGGCAGCTGTGAAATGAATTGGCATGAGGAAATATGCTTGTGATACAACATATCTATTGAATAACCGCAAGCGGTACCGAAATCAGAAAACGTCAAAGATTTCTTCTACACGTAGAAGAGTGACGTATCACCCAGTACTCTGAAATCTTGTAAAGCAGGCCCGTTGGAACCGGGGGGCTGGGGGGGGCTGGAGCCCCCAATAATTGTCAAACTGCAGCATGTTTCCTTTATAACAGTGTAATGAATGAGAAATGAAACAATGGGCAGCCCTCCCAATATGAATTTCGTTCCGACGGCACTGTTAAAGAAGCTTCAGTCTTTATGCCATAACAACGTATTTGCGTATAATGAAATCTTTGAGTTTGCGAGAAAGGCACACAATTTTCTTCATGTATTCAAATACAGGCTTACATGTCAAAATCAACAAATTAAGTTCCAAGCATGCATGTTCTAAGCGGAGCGAGTTATGCAAAGAAATAGAAATTTTCTAACTACGAAAGAAAAAATGTTTACATAGTAAAATGGCCTGAGTTGCTGCTCAGGCTGTTAGAAGAAGTTGACTGCGGCATACGGTTGATAAAATTTTCAGACACTCATCATAGTAGTGAAGATAGACACACAACAGCTCATTGAACTTCATGATGAACTCTTATAATGTAACACGGCAAAAATGCCACTGTAGAAAGGAAAAAACTGTGAATGAAGAGCAGAGTAGCATGAGGGCAGGGTGACTAGAGGTATTAAATCTAGGTATTAAAGGGTTCAGATAATACTATCTTTTATCTTATTGAAGAATGGAAAAGAAGATTGGTGGAATATTCATTGGTAATGCCAGGTCGAACGATGGACTAATGACATACACCAATACGCATGTTTACATCAACACCAGGAAAAATAGAGCAGATGAACCGTCAAGGTTGGCCACTTGAAGATATCAAAAATAGAGATTAGGCCCGTGAAAAATCTCCGTATTCGGTTTACTGAGACACAAGAACATCAACCCTTGGGAGCCAATAGAACATTACCCAGTATCCGTCTAACTAGTACCTAATGACAACGTAGGGTGGCTTGGTAACTCGCATTTCCAAAAGAGAATTTAGAATATTTTCGCTAATCTTGTAAAATTCCTTCGTGAAGGTAATCTTGTTATACTTCGGTAACCGGGAAGCACTAATGTTTTAATGAAATCAGACCATTTGCAAGCCATTGCTAATTGTATACACTTACCCTGCTGATGGTTAGAATACATTTCCTTGGTGACGTTTCACTATTAGCGTCCTTGGCAACAACTCGCTCCATGACATTTGAAAAGTCTCAATGATAAACTGGATGTTATTTATGATCATAATACATTTTCATTTTAACATATTTCTCTCACACAGCTACAAAAAGAATATTTCATTGAAGCAAAATGTATATAACTGATATCCTTAACAGGATTATTGACTTACAAGCGTTTTTCTGTCTATCAGCCAAAAGTATTAAAAATATATTACTTTCAGAATATCAACATTCTTACAAACAGAATACTCAAGTGATGACGTCTCAAAAGAATATTTATCTAGGATCTATTGATTTTGATCCCATAATATTAAAGAGCATCATGAAATGAGCATCATCAAAGAGCAGCAGTAAATGTGCAAAGTCAGTATAATGTGGTACTAAAGGGCAGAGACATTGCAACATGAGCATGGGTTCTTTCCCAATGAAATCACTGTTATTTGGTCTATATTTATATATTATTAACGAAGCCAAAATAACAGTAATCAGATAGCAGTTTGCAAATCTTTTATCGGCCATTTCTCACCCAATTTTCGACAGATTGAACTGATTTTGCATACTTCGTGTCTCGTCAAAAAAATCCAAAAATATTTGTGTCTTTACATTTTATAACTCTATTGATTTATACACAAATATCATTAATCTGTGTGCTGCTAGCTACATCTGCTTTACAAATTAGCATTAGTTTTGTTGCAGCTTTTTTGCAGTAACCTTACTTGCCTAAGTCTCGGTAAATCACGGTGGTTATGCCAAAATGAGGAAGGGAGAGCCATCTCCGTATTAGTTATGCCAGGAAAATGAGGGAAGAAAATCCTTTCTCCCTTGTCTGTTCTCCCTTCCCCTTCACATTTTGATCTGCCATATATAAAAACTTGGCTCTTTACATCCCCTCACTGAGCGCCACACCCATAAAACTTCAACTGAAGTTTCTTCGAAAATCTAGTTTTCTAAACATCAAAAGTCCAGTTTAAAACTTCTCATTAAACCCCTCAAATTCAAATAGGTATGCACGATATGACACACAAACAATATCTTTTTCAAATCAAACCGTCTGTATGCACCTAGACAAAACAACATTCAACCAAATGTGAAAAAAAAACAAATTTACAAAATGGTTTTTAAGAGACAAAAAGCATCGGGAAACTTCAAAGAGTCTTCATGTCCAGAAAGCTTTGGCAACACTCTGTCCACGTAAACCTCATTTGTCGTTTACAGGCGTATGTATGTTAGATATTTTGTATTAACATAACTTTCAAATGATTCATGCGCAGTGACATATTTATATGTTTCATATTCTACACAATCCTGAAATTGTTTGGATTATACAGCAACAAAGCGACATCATCAAAAATTTATATTTAGAATTATAGCAATCTGACCCCATAAACTAAAAACAGTTCTGAATGTGCAAAATCCTTTAAATCTGTTGAAAATCGGCCGAGGTATTGCCACATAAGCACTGGCTGATTCACCATTAAATCACTGTAATTTGGTCCTGGTTCTTAAATCTATGAACCAGACCGAAACAACAGCAATCCATTTGCAAAACTTGCGTTCTATATTGACCATGTCCCAGGCTATTATGAACAGATTGAGCTGATATTGCATATTCAAAGGTATTTTGCGGTGTTCTTACAGGACATGGAGTCAGAATTCTAAAATTCTAAAAATAGATTTGTTGATGACGTCACTTCGTTCCTCTCTTAAAGAGTCACTGCCAGTGTATCTTCAACAGGCTTGTTCTATTGTTCCTTGATTGACCTAATGATTCATTAAAATCTCTGACGTTTCAAAAATCAAAACAGGAATGCACTTTAAACTATCCCCCTACGAAAAGCTTTCGGGTGCAACGCACCACCGAAAATTCACCCAATAGAAATCCATCTATATCAAACAAAGTAATTTTCTTTTCACTTGTACTGGGTCAAAAAGATATCACTGTTACTTGTTTATTGTTAAAGACTTGCAAACACGACAGTCCGCGTGGCAAAATTAGACTAGTGTTCAAAAGAGGAAAATTAGGATTGCTAGTTCTTAAAAAACAAAGAACATATAAATTTCAGTTGATGTGGGTGAGAATTTAAACCAGCAAAATAATTTTGGAAATATCATAGAAAATACATGATATATGAGAACGTTTTGAGAACAGTAAGGACAAAAATAGAATAAAGTGATGGTCATTAAATTTCAGGATATTTTCCTCCTTTTTTGTTAAAAAATATCAAGAAAGTCTCGGTTTCTAAACATCAAAAGTCCCTTTTTAAATGTGTCATTTGACCTCTTCCATTCAAATTTGTATGCGCGAGATGACACATAAACAATATCTTGTTTTCATCGTACCTACAGTCAACAACCAAATACGATGTCCCTAGACAAAATAATTTCTAAAATGTTTCTAAAAAGACAAACGCACCGGGAAAATTCATGGAGTCTCAATATCAAGATAGCTTTGGCAACACTCTGTCCAAGTAAATCTCCATTGTCATTAGCTGGAAAGTTTAAATAAGATATGTTGTAGTAACATAACTTTCAAACAATGTATGTGTAGCGATATTTTTGTAAGTGTCACATGCTGCACAATCCTGAAAAAAATCTTATTCGTTATCTCGCTCAACCATGAGCCAATGTTTCTGTATTCGTTTGGCTGATATTAGGTCTATTCTTATAATGCATATTTCTATTGTTATTTAATTGGCCAAATGATTCATTTTAACTCTGAAATTTGAAAAATCAAAACAGGAATGCATCACTTTAAACCGTCCACCTACGAAATGCTTTCGGGTGCAACTCACCACTAAAAACGCCCCATAAGCAAATCCCTGTACCTTAAACATTCTAAGCTTATTTTCACTTTAACCAGGTCAAAAAGATTTGACTGTTACTTGTTCATTGTTAAGTTCTCGCAAACACGACAGCTGTGGCAAAATGAGACTAATGTTTAAAAGGGGGAAAATTAGAGTGGCTGATTAAGTAGTTTGTGATATAACAAAGAACATATTAAGTTTATAACGAACTATTGAACAATTATACGACAAAGACATTTGGTGGACATGCATGGAATAATGACCATCAAAAAAATTAAGGTAATATAGTAGAAAGAACTTTATCAATGAAAAGGTTTTGAGAATAATAGGAACAAAAGTAGAATTCATGGGTACTTATGTCAATTTAACAAAACAACATCTAGAAACAGGTTTAGAAGAGATGAATCAGTGACGGACGAGGCAAGGGAAAAAAAGGTTGATAAATATTGAAAGCTGGACTAGCCTAAACAACAGAGAGTACGAAAGGACAGCACAGGGTCGTCAGAAGTGGAGAAAATGGCCGGTGAGATGGTCAGGAAAACAAACCTACATGGTCAGATAGAAAATTAAGTTGTAATAAGTCATAAAGATTTGGCCTGCTTTTACTCGAATGATTTCCTTTTTGTTTTGCCTCTATCTTGCCATTAGCTAAAGCCTCGCTTTGCTTGTGGCATTGCAGAAATTTTCGGACAACCTGCTCATTCACCTACCAGAAGTTCCGTGCATGCTGGTCTTTGATCTTACGGCCTAAGATATCAGAGTCTTGATATGTTGTAGAAATACAATTTTTGCAGGAAAAGTATCAACAGGTATCTTTCTTTGCAAGAAGCAAACTCAAAGGTAATTTAGTCTTTGGATACACAAGTTTAAAGGTACGAAATGGATTGCGATGCCTCATAGGACCAGATATAGGAGGCACTTTCTCTTGGTTTTGCTTATTGCTGTACTAATGTTGATGTGTGCTTATAAACAGAAAGGAGTCTTGTGGGATTTCAACCAGGATACAACGCTTCTGCAAGACTATCAGCATCCACTCACGCGTTACATACCTGACCTACGAGATGACTCTTTAAACGAGTCTATAACTGAAAAGGGCCTTAATGGAAATACCAGAAAGGCAAAAAGTTGTGTGACCAATCATGAGGTCGTCGAGAGTTTGCGGGAATTGGTATTAGATTTGATTGATATTCGTGTTTCGGTTGAGGGTAAAGCAGCTGAGAAAATCGAAGAAAAATACGACAAATTCCAGAGAATGTTGCTTGATATTGAGACCAAACTAGACCTGGGAAAGCCTTATAAAGCCGAGAGCAGGAAAAACAGTACGATATACTCTTGTCCTGAAGTACGTACAGGGCCTAAGTTTAACAGAAAGTTTGAAAGAATCAATTGCTCAAAAGTTCCTTTGCATGAATCTGTTACGGTAATTATTGACAATGTGAATTTGACTAGAAGGCAAACTGTTAAGTTGTTAAAAGAGATAAGAAAATTTGATAATAAACTTGAAGTATTGACAATGGAAAGTAATGATGAAAACTATGCTAGGTCTACAATGATCAACAAGGTCATGGATGAAATTGTTACGCCATTTGTATATTTAGCTCGAGATCTTTATACATGGAACTCACATGCAGATTTAGAGAGGCTTGTTGACTTCATTTCGGTAAACGAAGATGTTGTTGCTGTTGGCAACGCTTTAGTAAACAGTCGTAATGGACACTGGTCACATGGATGTTATCAAGCGAGGCTGAAAAACTACGAATTCGCTTACAAGCGAGGCTATCACGAATCAAAGGGTTCCTGCATAAAATGCGATATTTTGGAAGGACCGTTTATGACAAAACTAGAATATCTGAGAGATCTTCCGTTCAAGGAAGGTCTTGTGAATGGCTATTACGAGGACTGGTATTTGAAAATAAACAATTTGAATGGTGGTGACAAACATGAAAAATATATTAGAAAGACATTTATTAACAAAGATGTAAAGCAACGTAAGAAGGTCACAAGTATCATAGGGAAAAGCGTGTACAGTTGTCCTGACGTCATGAGCACGGTTTCAAAATCTGTAGATTTTACTTTGATCTCCAAATACGTAGCTGACGAATGGGATATAGAGAAAATTGTTGACCCTAACGACAGAGTTGAATGGTTAGACTGCAAATGGAAAAATGATGATGCCACTCCAGGGTGCTGGGTAGGCAGAGGTATGGCGGTGCCTCCATGTTGCTTAGAAACCCTTGCAGAAGGCATAAAGTTCGTATTAAGGACATGTGAACTAAACAAGATTTCTTGTGAGCTAACAGAGGGGACGCTTCTCGGGGCAGTGAAATTGCAAAAGCTGCTTCCTTGGGAAAAGGACGCAGACATTTTGTTTCTTTCTAGTCACTTTGAAAGGCTCATTGCTTTGAAAGACGACTTCAAAAACAAGGGATACTCATTCTTAATTAAAGGTATGCTTTTAATGTTTGTAGGAAGAAAGAAATGTACTGGAAAATATATTAAACATATTTGGCATTCAATTAACAGCGGGCCTTAAACTGCATGAAGAAAAGGAAGGTGCACAATGCACACTAAGATAGCCCCTTACTGCATACTGTATTCAGAGAGTATAAAACGTTATATAACAAGCAGATTGGTAAATCTTAATTATCTATTGGTCAAATTGCAACATTCAAGTTTCGCTCACCTTCTGGTCATAATACGACGATTCATAATATCCTAAATCAACTTTTTGTTGCAGTAAAATGTTTCCACTTTTGTGCAATCTTAAAATTATGTACAGAGAAAGGCTTTTTGATAATGTATTTTCTTAAGCATAAAAATCTCCAAGTACCAATAAATTTATGCTCAAGGGTATGACTACCCATTAAGGAAACTTGTTTTGTATTGATCTTGTGTTTTACAAAATTAGAGTTGCCTTTATCAGTATGAATTTTAAAAACTTCTTAATAAAATTCAAATGTTGCTATTTCATAACATCTAACAAAAATAAAGAAATTCACGATTATCAACTCTCTTTCTTGCATAGACATTTTTCTACTTTAAATAACAGAAAAACAACAGACGGTTAAAGTGTCATAAGGCTTTTGTTAGGAGACAATATCAAGTGTCATTCATACAGATGACGTCATTTCCTTCGTCTGTTATGGAAGACAGAATATGCTATATGTATCTATTTTGTAGTCCTTTTAATTCCAACAAAAAATTGACTGAACACCAACAGCTCTGTTTTTGCATCTCAGAGTGGCCACGTCTTGGATCAAACGAATCCAAGATTGGCGGGTCCATACTTGTTATAGCAGATGGATGGAATATAGAGATGTATGGAAGCCAGTCACTTGACTCGCATCAAAAGATCCTCCACGGGGAAAAGCCAACCAAAATCGACTTTGCAGGGCAGATGGCAAATGTACCGGACAATCCTGGAAAAGTTTCCAGAAACAGGTATACTTTTTAGTTCTAGGAATATTTATTTTGGTTGGCTATCTGTGATGTTTCTAACGACATCCTTAAGGCACCCGAGAAAACGAGAAAAAGAGACTGCAAATGAGCGGCACAACATTTAAAATAGGAGAAACATGAATCGCCATGGGTAGTATGGAAAAAAGTAGTTTGACTGGAAGCTTCCGATTCAAAGGGCTAAACGATTTCTGAACTGAGTAAAGTGGAGAATTATGAGAATCTTGTACAAAGTAGTACATTTGATGGGTTTCTTTACGACGAATATAGACAGGGTCGTTGAAAGCCAACTCAGACTAATTGGTATACAAAAACAGCAAACACTAGATAATATTAAAATATACAAGCAAGCATCATTTTATGTAAGCAACATTATATGCAAGCAACAATTTGCATGAAACCTATACAAATCACTGTCTGTTTTAGGGTTATCTTCCTGATCTTGCCCCCATTCCGAGAACCAAGGATTTCACTTTAGGCCTAAATGGCTAGAACGTTTTTCCTCTTCATCAAAATCTTTCCCACTCAAATCTCAATAAAATACTCAAATCTCTATTTGTGCAAAGGAGATAATTTTTTCAAAACTGCTAGCTACTCTTAAACAGTTTTGCACTAAGCTAAGCCCCTGTATCTAAATTTTACCTTATTTCAGTGAGTGAATACGTCAATGACAAGCTCAAAAATGCCTTTTAGGTATGGTATTGAAATATACAAGCACTCGGAGCACTGGATGAGCAAGAGAATGAATTCTGGATACGATGAATATGAACCTGGAGAGTTCAATGATTGTGTGAGACCAGGCCATCATGGATGCCTAGACCAATACGAGGCAGATGGGTCTTTGCAATTTCAAGAAAGTGGTACTTTTTAACTCGGTACAAAATATTCGCAAGATTCAGACTGGAACTTTACTTTCTCCCTATGGAATGTTTGCCTACCTCAACTTTGCACTGTGTTGCACTTGATAGATAAAAGACAAAAGTTAAACAAAACAAAAACAATTAAGGAAATAATATTGCACTTGATTGATGTTTAACGTTTTCATCAATGTCAGATGGCGTAAGGACAATCTTTTGCTGCAACTAACTTTATAGTTTTGGGTTCTGTAACCTAACCAAAGTTTCCTCTTAGTCTCTCTTCAATCCTCTACCAGCCTTTAAAGAATGTAAAGACATTAGGACCAAAATGTTTAAAAATATATCAGTATCTGAGACGCAAAGATGGGTTAATTAAAACTCTACATTTGGATTTTCTTAGTAAATCCTGCTCTTAGTTCATCGATTATTCAGTAAATTTTTAGACAACGAAAAAAAAGCTTAAAACGAAAATGTCCCAACTTTTTCGGTAAACATTTTCCTATGCTTAATTTCAGTACATTCAACTTAAGCGTTTATTATAAAAATAATTGAAGACGGTACGAAATAGCAAAAATATAGGAAATTGAAGTACCTTTCACCCGACACTCTTCAGAGCATAAACATCGGATAATGACCGAAAGTAAGCTGAAAACCTTAAAGCTAACTATTTCAGGCAGTGAACTGTCAACTGGTATACAATGGAAATGGTTTATTTCCTTTATTTCTACAAGTATTAGTTGTCACGGCGTGTTGAAATAAGAATCAAAGCCCCTTGGTTAAGTTTTTCTTGCTTAGCACAAATTGTGCTTCGTTCAAGATGCATTCAACTGTGCCTACAATTCTTCACAAAACATATTGAGCCCAGGTACCAGATTTTTCAAATGTTTTCTCCTTAAAAATCTTTTAGACGTCACTAAAACGACATTAATTCTAATGACCTTACTCTTACAAAGCAACGTTGTTTGAAGCTATCTACCAACCACATCCTACTCAAATCACTCTGACAATATTGTTGTAGAACAGGCGAAGAATCAGTGCAGTTTCACCATTTTTGTGAACGATTGTAGGCAAAACTTTTCCGAATTTTAATTCTATAAGATAGTGAACAGACATGTGGAAATTGATGAATAGTTGTTTGCAATTTAAGAAAGCAAGTCATATGGTAAGTAAAATTAACAAAATATATAAGTAATAAGCAAAAAATAATATTTATAAGTATTAACATGACGCAAGCACCATTATTTACTTAGGAGAAAAAAGGATTTAATCATTTATCAAAATTCAAGTCATATGGATCGTTCAAGCCTCTAACGATAGTTGCACGACGCAATTCAGACGAAAAACAAAGGTCGATTGAAAGGTGGATAAGAAGGAGTGCAAGTGAATGGAATACACAGGTAACATGTAGAGATGTTTGAAATATATTTGGAAGATATGAATTCGGGTACCATGAAAGTTAAAAGTCACATGACAAAGTGGAGAAAAACGACATCTGCTAGCTAAAAACAGAGGATTATTTCAGCTCGCCTTGCCCAGGTACTGCCAAGAAAAATTAATAAAAATAAAAAACAGAGAAATCTTACAACGGAGCAATGACTATCTCCTGTGTCTCACTGGTGGCTTTTATTGCAGTTGCTGCAAGTTTGCTGACAATCAACGGAGTCCTGTGTCGCAGTTGCTTTTTGATGGGACAGGGTAACGAGAATGCCCATTTCCTTGTGATGCCATGATAACGCTGCAAAGGGAGATTATGTGTTAATCAAAGCTTCAGACATGCATAAAGATTTACACACATTAACATGGAATGAAAGAGATTTCAACTCATTGCATTTTTAAAAAATTACACAAACCATATGAAAAAAGGCATATATAAATACTTTTTTGAAAATAATGAAATTTAGCAATCGAGATTGACTACTGATCTTTTATATTATTAATAACTAGTTGCAGTAGCCAGTGGCGGGCATTGATCTTTTATGTGGTGGGACAACATCAGTGTATTTTCTGATTTTCTTGATTGAGCAGTCCCTTCCCTTCCTATACAATAGACATTAGCCTTTCGAGTTTAATTTTTCGAGGCATGCCGAATTGGAAAGAGCAATTGCCCCCCGAATCTCCATAATTTCTGCCAATTGAATACGTATTATCTTACAGAAAGCTTACGTCATGACGTCGGGTTGCTGTAGTTTCAGTTTCAAGATTAAAACAATTGGTTATGGCTTGATTCACAGACCTTGAAAGTAAAGAACCTGTCGGAGGTTTTGTTGAAAAAATGGTTTCAAATGGTAAACGAGAAATCCAATCTAACATCATTGTTCCACTTTACTTTTCTGCGACAACTGTACGCTACAATACCTAACCTTCTGAATGACAAAATTCCCTGATACTTTCAATTTACAAAATTGATAATCTTTTAGATCGATTCCACTCATATTCTCTCTAAAGTTTATACAAACAGCCTACTACGACATTCTAACCAAGACTTGGTGTTCGAGCTGTCAAAATATCCAATCTCCTGTTAAATGTTATTGCCCCACAAATTGTTCTCTTTATTCCACTGGTTATAGCAAGAGTTCAAAATGAACATCTGCATATATGCTTCTACAAGTGATAGCCTGCTTTAACGTATATAAGATGTATTTATGTATCCAGTGTAAAATTTGATATAATTTGCTTACAGTGTTAATATCATTGCAAGAATTTCTAATGACACAACAACCATTACTTTTATGCAAATAAAATTTTTAAATGAAGACAGACCAATATCAGGAGACATGCTAGATGACGTAAAACTTTAACTTTTGCATGGATTTTGAGAATCTAATTCTTTATCATCTAGTGATTAACAAAAACTGATAGTCTTGAAAACAAATGATTTTTCTTTGGACTTCTACTTTATTGTATTTTCTAGAAACAAAATGTTGAAAAGTACGACTGGCAGCACACTGAACTTTGTTTCAAATAAATGATTTTGTACACAGCAGAAAAGAGAAAGCTTCAGAAGATTTTACAGCAAGGAAAATCATATAAAGAGAATAAATTGCATAATTATGAAATATGAAATTCTTCCATAACCAGAAATAAAATAGGAACTATATAAATCATGAGAATATAGTTTGTATTTTCAGGATGATATAAACTTACAACTCAAGTTTAAGAGATAATGAGTTAATTAAGATATCATAGACAATTTTTGTATAACTTGCCAGACTGAATTGAAAAATATTAATAACTCGTAGGTCAATTCTAAGGTTTACACAAATATGTTTTTATTTGTCAAATTGGAGATGAAAAATCGACATGAAAAATTTTATGGGGCACTTAACCTGCTTGCAAGAGGGAAGAGGCTTGGTAGAAAAGATATGAAGCATGTGATAGTAGCCTAGATAAAAAATGATAGAAGCAAAAAAATGATGAAATGACGAGAAAAGATATACTGTAATGGAAATTTTCATCTGTCAACAGACTGGAGGAAACCTGATCTCACTTATCATCATCATCATCTTCATTAAAAGTTTCATTTAACGACACAGAGGTTGATATTTAAAGACTCACAGGTCTTTGAACCATTTCTATCTTCTCTTTTTATGGTTTTGAACTGGGTGACCAAACTTTGCAGAGAATACAGAAATAAGTTACCAAAGACAGACAATAATGGGGACAGATATCCCATGTTCATGTTAATGCCTTATATCAGATGTGGAAAATGCAAGTGGTTATAATCATGAAATGATGAGAAAAGATAACCTGTAAGGGGAATTTAAAGTCCAATAATTTTTTCTATGGTAAAGGAGTCCTGAAACCTAAAAGATCTAGTATTTAAAACCATGCATATATATCCATATATATCTATATCCTAAAAAACTATATGCTATCAAGATTTTGCCAGCAAACATACTGATGTCTGAAAATTATCTACTCTGGGATATTCAATAGAATTTATATTACCAAGGAGTGGTATGACAAGGCTGTTGGAAAAAACGTTTTTCTTAGAAATACACTCAGTTCCAGATAATCATCAGATGTAGAGCTAATGCTTTAAACAATTAAGTTTAGGTTTAAAAAATGAAGGAAAACATTGATTGTTTTTGCTTGATATGGGAATAAAATTAAGTTGTAAACGAATGCCCTTGAACCATATGATTACAATTGGAATAAGAAACCAAGGAACAAATAGGGTCGGATGGATTCTAATGACAAGGGTTGTCACACAATATCTTGAGTTATATTATGAGTTGTAAACAGAGACAAAAGAAACAATCAGAACAGTGCCCCTAAGACTTGTTTCAGATGATTTCCTGCTTTGTTTAGCTTGATTTTTTACCAATGCAGTTGCCCTTTTACAAGAAATATTTAAAACATTTCCTACTTCACTTACTCAAAAAAATCCAGTTTTTCTTTTGCTTTTGTTAAAATTTTAATTTACTTAAATAAATTGTACCATTTACAAGACGCTATTGAGTTCAAATTAACACTCTCTCATTCCCATATTGATTTATAATGTGCATCATCAAAATACCATCTTTATCAAGTTTCTTGACAACATCATCCAATTTTCTATGATGAGACAGCCCCTAACCAAATTTAGCCATGGAGATGTTATTGTACTTATAACATAAACATAGGGTTAAATAATTGAAATAACTGCAGCATTTAATGAGTCAATCATTTAAATTAAGAAAACACTTAAGCAAAAATATACTTATAAAATAGAAGTTGTCATGATAAAAGTGCCTTTCAAACTGGGGCAGTGCCACAGGACATGTCCACCCCACTTTTCTTAAAATGGACTTTCTAATTTTTCTAAAACTGGATTAAAACATATGGGGGATATTAGTTTTCTTCTCTGAGTTCGGACCTTTTTTCATTTTTATGGTCAGTTTATTATGGATTTTTTCAGATCCTAGCTGACATAGAGTATGGTGTGTTGGATCATCAGTTCCATAAATAGTGAGAAACTAAAATGAAGATGATCTATAAAACACAATTTTATGGTGCTAAGGTCTTAGTGACAGCATGGTATTTGTCTTTCTTCCTTGGTAAAGGTTTTTGGCAATAACTAATTCTAAAACTCTAAAACTTGTACCCAGACTTTCTTATTGCAGCCCCACCTGTTACAGCTGCTTCACCTTTGAGCCTCAATGTCAGACGAAAGGTTGGAAAACCTTGTACAAATTAGCATCGATCGAGATATAACAAATACATTAGACAATGGAGGCCTCTTTAATAAGTTTAAAACCATTGCTAGCCAAAAAATACCACCCTGATATTAGCTTTTATGTGTGTAAACCTTTGCCTATGAAATTTAAATCTTCTATTGAGGGTTTCAAAATATGTCAAACTTTGTTATCAAAAACAAACGAGCGCGATTTCTCGTACGGTGTTGTACCAGTGTCTCACCCAGACCCTTTTATCAGCTCCACACCTTCATTGTCCACCCCACTATTTTGGGGCGCTATTTACGCTACTTACGTCCCGGGTAATATTTGCCACTAAGTTTCAGCTAAAAAGTTATCAATGACATTTAGAGATCTAATCTACAAAACCCTAATCCAATGAATAGTTTCAATTATAGTTTGGCCGAAGTCTCTAGGGGGTGTGTGGCCTAAAACATCTCTTGAAAACATTTGAGCAAATTATAGTCAGGGATGTTTTCATTAGCCCTTTTTTGCTATTTTCCGATAAATGTCTATAAATATTGCTTTACGTAAAGACTTACCACGTTTAGTCTCCCAATTACCTTGAATAATCATTACAAACATCTTGCTTTCATTTCAAGGAACAGCCATGTGACAATAACACATGGCGTAAACAGATCCAAAGTGGTGGCGGGAAATATCGCTCCTTCTGAGTGGCCGCGTCAAAAGGAACTACCCAAAAAGGACCCCACGGTGCCATACCAACCATTAGATTTGACTGATCCTATAGCCCCTCCGTATTGAAAGGTGTTTGGAGCTAAGTTAGATAAGGAACTTGCTACTTTAAAGAACTTTTATTTACTCCAGTGATATGATTTTTACAGTTATAAAGACTAGCGCGTTAAGGGTTATTTTTCTAAAGCATGACTCATACTTCCACCCCAGAACTTGTAGACTTTGGAACATTCTAGCCTTTGGAACATTCCAAAAGTAGAAATAGAATTAAAGTAGAACAAATACAAATACAAAATACAAATGCTATAGGCTTTCGGGCCATTCCCTAGCATCACCAACTAAAAAAATAGACAAAACTTGCAAGGGTTGTTGGTGGTCATCTAATGAATTTAATATACACGGAATAAGGTGTTATCGTATCTAGAAAAGTTTCTCCATCACTTCGTAAAATAGTTGTCGGATTATTAGAAAGCATAAAAGGCAGTGGTAAGGTAAAAAGACTAAATCTTTGTAAATTTTAAGACATGAGTTTCTCAAGGCCAGCCATAAGCCTTTTGTTAGGAACTTCAGCATTGGGGTCAAACTTTAACAAATTAAAAGAGAAGAAATGATCTATTGTCAAAAGATAAGATTGGTAAATAAAATGGAAGTACGATGGGGTTTACCAGACAAGGTGCGTCTATAAGACAGCACCCCCTACCAATTCAGTCAATTTTTGTTTTAAATCTATTTGGCGAGAAATGCAAAAGAGAAAATTTAACTCATCCCTTTCCTTTTAGTGAGAGCCATAAAATTGAGCCTCTGGCTATGTATTTACTAAACATGAATCACAGTGTAGGTATTGAATAACAATCTACATTTGAAATCAGTAATCCTTTCAATAAATCTTGGTTATGCTATTGAAGCAATAAGTGTATTTATAACCTACACGTATCAAGCTTGAAATTTTTCACGAGGACTCATGCATACAACGAGCCAGAGTTTCTCAGGAAAATAGTTATATAGCCTGCACTATCTCGAATTTGAGGTTTGGCAAGACATTGAAAATAAGGAACAACTGCAAGACTTTAACCAAAACCAGCTTTGTTGAAGGGGTTAAAGAGAATAGAAATTTCAAACGGTGTTGTGGTTTCTTCAGAGTACTTGTCGCCAATTTCTAAATAAAACAATAAATGATACTTAGACATGGACTTGAGCATGCCTGAATCTTTCATGATTAAGGCAGCTTTGCAAAACTATTAGTCTTATAATTATTCTGATGAACAAAATACATGTTTTCTTGCCAAGATTTCATCTCTTCTTAGGGCGAACAGAAGATCTAAATATTGAAGCTTGTCAGTGGGAGACGTTGAAGGATGACGTCATTTAAAACTCGAGAAAAAACTGTTTCCTAAAACTGGCTTTACATTCTGCAGAACGCTGTGATCCTATTAGAAGGTACCATAACCCCTCTTCTCCACCGTATCTTTTCCTGAGATGGAACAAACCCTCTTTGTGGGAGTTTTCCAGAGGGAGTGCTGAACAACCCTTTCTTCTTCTTAGCTACGCAACTAGGAATAAGGCAGTGGCGTACCCAAGGGGGGGAATAGGGGGTCCGGACCCCCCACTTTTCTAAAATATGATCCTCGAGATTTGTCCAAAAATGATGTAAAACTCATTGGGGGGTGGGGGGTATGTAGTATACTGGATGCTTGTGTCAATAACAATTATAAAATACATTGCTATTTACCGTAGATAACATTAATCAAATAATGGGGGAAAATTTGCAAAAAGGGCGTTTCCCCGCATTTGCCAGTGTCTGAACGGCGTGGTCCAAAATATTTTCTGGGGGCTCCGCCTCAGACCTCTCTCCCGCTGCTGCAGCCCTTGGTACGCCACTGGAATAAGGTATAGATCTGGACACTTAGCAGTAAATATGACTCTAACTAGCTCTAACTAGGCAATGAATTTTTCACTTTCTAATTTGATCATTTTTAACTCGTCAGATAGTTGAAATATGTGTTTATATCAGACAGAAAAAGGTAGTTACAACCACTGAATGACTTTGAAATAAACATCCTTCTTATCAAACATGGGTATTCAAAGATTTTGAGCAAGTTTCAGTTAGTTGTATGGAGATCTCCTCCTTTTTAGATAATCTTAACTGATAACGGATGAAGTAAAGTAAAACTATTAATAGAAGGAGATACTTCATTGTCTTGAAATACATTCAAACTGCCTATGTATTCATGGAATTTCAGCATGCTCAAGTTTCGGCTGGCATTTTGAAACGAGAACTGTTACAACCACAATTAATTCATACAAGAACGTCGAGGAATTTACATTGGTTAGCCAACATTAAACTGCCTCTCGAATTAACTGGCTTGCACAGTGAATTACGGTTATTATGATAAAAATATAAAGTAGGCGTGTCTGGAATACTGATACGCTCCCCATGGTTTGTCAATCCATGGTTTAGGCTAATCGTTTGAGATTTCTATCATTGAATCGGTTGCTTGCATAGAGAACACACAGAAGATCTTCAAGTGCCCTTGAACGTTCTATCAGCCAGCAGGAATTTATTTATGAAAAGATAGAGGACAGAGTGTGGGCTGGCAATACCAAAGCTGTCAACATCATTAGCTGCGTACTACAAGTTTAAAAATAGCGTATCTGTGTTCATTTTGGAATATCAAACAGTTTCTTTTGAAGGCGTTTTGCCGGGAAATTTTGACTCATTCCAGTGTAATGGTTAAACATCACGAAAAATTTTACAATGTGGGCATTCGGAGAAGTCAAGTTGGGAGGAACCTGGATGTGTTGATTTGAAGAGTCTGTGCGCCTGAAAAAAGTTTGGATCATCAAGGCAAAGTTATTACTTATTGGTTGCTGGCTTGATACCTGTTTAGAAATCGGAATCGTCGTCAAATGATAGAAGTTTTGTAAATTGTCATTGTTACGTACTTCTATACTACAGAAGAATGAATGAAGCTCTGTACTGATGTTTAAGTGCTGTTGCTGTAAAAAGATCAGAGCCCAGGACCTAAAAATGCCCGAATCGACACTAATTGGAATTGCCCTTGGCTCCATTGCTGGACTAGCACTGTTTGTCATTTTAATCTGCTTCTTTTGCATCCCAGACGAAGAAAATATCATCTAACTGCCTCAAGGAAAGACAGCATACTTGGTGTGATCAGTTCAAAGAGAAATCGATATGTGTTATTTTTCAGTAATAAAGAGGTAACTGGTCTGAAATGTAGAAAAGCAAAAAACTAACTTTTCTTATGACTAGTAGGAAATGTTCAAGTAAAAACATATTGTTGGCCTTAACCAATATTTTGTTGATACGGTAAATTTAGGCCAACCCTGAGACGATGCACTGCCACAACTGTTTTGGGGTAGGTGTTTGGAGAGATCAGCCATGAAGGTAGTGCTGGGGGCTCAGCTCTCCTCGTAGATGCCGAGAACAAGTTTATAACTTTTCTGTTGTTTTTTGCCAATTTGTTTTGTGTGAGCACTTCACCCTTGAGATCTGCCTAACGAAGTACCAATTCAGAGCTCTTTGTTGTGAGACACTGTTGGAACGAAGAAAGTTATAGGGATTTCTTGAAAGCTACAATATAGCACAGTGGTGTAATTTCATTTTGCCATTACTCGTTATTCCATGATTGAAAAGAATCACTGGCACATTTGGACTCCCCCCTTCTCGCTGGAGGAATGGTCAGCACTTGCATCGCTTGCCAAAATTACCCGAAGCACCCTGTAGCTTTCAATTTTTCCCTGAATACATCTTGTCTTAGAGCACCATTGATAGTTTTATTTTGGTAACCATCAGACAAATTACATTGAAAAACCTAGATCTTCTACATAATTTTTCAGTAGACTAGCATAACCTCAGGTGGGGGAAGGGAGGGTGACCGATTCAACCTTTGAAACTCATGTGTTTTCAAAGACAATTGTCAGTGGATGAAGTTTGCGTAGCTTTGAACTAATTCTAGCTCTCCAAATTTTTATCAGTTTCCTAAACTCAACCAAGCGGGTTCAGCTTAGCGGAAGCATTTATTCGAAGGGGCATTTGAAGGAGTTTTTATAAGTTGTGTTTAATGGAAATGACTTTACGGTTTAATATTCTTTATTAACCATGTTATGAGATATCTGCATTCTTATTTCATTCTAAATGAAAAAATTAGCGAAATTTAGAGGTAACCTTCATATTGCCACTTATTCATATTAAACAATATAAGTTGTACGTAACCTTTACGCAAGTATTGCATATTTATATAAAAACAATCGAACAGCTTCTAGTGATATGGAAAGTGAAAATGAAATACAAAGTTCTTTTAAATATCAGTACTATACCAGAAAACAGTTAAAGCCAAAGTTGATTTTTCAGACTGCTTTATAATTTGGGTCTCCTTATCTCTGTTTAGACTAACTTTTGTCTCTCAATTATCTCTGTTTAGACTAACTTTTGATGATTCGAGTCGATTCGACTGCGTTACGCCATGGTATCAGATATTGACTGTAATGCCATCAAACAATACCAGAGGCAGCGAAACACACCAGGCAGAAGAGGTGAAGAAATTGTCACGATATAGCTTAGTTATTACAACAATTCTCTTTGAAATCCCAAGCAAAAATATTTAGAAACCAGCTCGTATTACACATACTCTTAAACGACAGCGGCAAAAAATTTCAAGTCTCAGTCTTAACGACCCCCTTGAATAACACTTGGAATAACGAAATACTATATAAATCTACTCAAAGTTTAAGGGGTGGAATATTACGTGTTGTCCAGCAATCAAGTTTTCCATTAAGCCTACACAGTAGAAAGCTATGTAAACAAAACGCGTGTAAAAACAAATATTTCTGTTTCTACTATAAAATTTTAGGGAGAGGGGGTGCTAGAATACGAGGATTCCAAGTAAAGAAAACAGACGAACACACTGTTTTTTTGTAATTACAAAACCACACCACGTAGCGTTGAAATATCAAATAACAAAGGCTGAACTGTGGGGCATAACGAAAAAAAAATACTCTTTGAATTACGTGTGGTGATTTTTCGTGATGTGAATTGCAAAAATACCGGATGATCTATTTAGGCAAAAACGGTGGTGGGGAAAATCTCCTGGGCTTTTCAATAGGGTAACTCTTTTGACACAGTAAAAGTCGAGCCTGTTTTTGTGCGTTAGTGGTGACGATCGAAAAATTATTGAATGGACTCTACGGGAAAGCACAAACGAATCGCTTTTCGAAGGATTTCTAATGAGAAAAAGCAAATATCAATAAATAAAAAATATTTCATAGTAGTATTTGAGTTTTCTATTTTTCAAGATTTTCGTGGGAAAGTAACGTTTCCTCGTGCATATGGCAAATGTGAAAGAAAGATTCTACGAGGATAGTCAATACATTTTCGAAATAAGGTTGGGTGAAAACACTATATTTGGATTAGCATACTGTATTTGAATAAAAAATCGTTATTTGGATGCAAACACTTCTTTGGATGAAAACACTTTATTTGAAAAAGAACTAAAAAATTTTAGACTAGCAATTAGTTAAGTCCTGAAAGTAAGGTGACAATATGTCCCTCCAAGGAGCCTTTTGTTTACCTGCACAGGGATATAATTCCTGGCACGTCTAGTCATATAGGGGTCTTGTGGAGGAGCATGGTAAAGGGTATGATGTTCAAAGAACGAACATGTTACTTGATGCGTAATAAACCATGATACTGAGATTTATGTGAAAAATAATGTAATAGTAATATTAACAATAATAACGGCAATAAGTGACAAATACATCAGCTGTTGAAGAAAATACTCTAGGTAATATCTGAGGCTGTTCAACCAGCAAGAAGAAAAGTGAATAACTCACAATATTTCAGAGAAATATTTAAATTCGGCTACGTTCAAAATTTATAAAGTAAATAATGTTATATATAAAGGGCAAAAGCCAATTGGCAAAACAATTTGATGAATTTTTGTTATATCTGGAAGGGTATGGGATAATTTGTATCATTATTGTAACAATTTGTGACTTGAAGGGATCATTTATGTTACTATTGTGTCGATGGGAAAATCGATGCAAGTTCACAATGCAGTGAATGCATTAACAGTTCGGGTTATCAGGAATTTTAAAAATGAGGTTTCTAGCAATGGGGATTGTAATTTAGCTCTAAAATTAACCTGACGTAAAAATTTCTTTTTCACTCGTTGTGCACAACATACTATTTAGATTATGGAATCAATTAGCATCATAATCATAGAAACGGATAAAAATTCCCCAATCTAGTGGCCTAGCATACCCTCCAGACGACAGCTACGTAAAATTGTAAAAATCACAGTACATTTTGCCAATTTGTGGGCTATTTGTCCTTGGTATCAACTACAAATCTTATACACTATAATACGGCCAAACATTGTCAAGAAAAACTCTGCAGTTTATAAACTATGTAATAAAATATCTCAAAAGTCTAATAACGAAGAGTCTCACCACTCAAAATTCCAAGCAAAAATGTCTTAGAAATAAACAACATATTTTTAACTGACTCGCAGTTTAAAAGTCTCAAAAAACCTACGCATAAAGTACAGTGGTGTTCAAGCTCTTATCAAATTTATTCGCATTATTTTGTCATTTATTAAAATAGGCTAGACTATCTAAACTGTCACTTTCAAAGGAGGCAAAGCCAGTAAGAGGCAACCACAAAAGAGACAAACATAAACGAGTTATAAATGAGACTAAGAACTGATCACAGGGGGTGGGGGAAGGAGGGGGCAGAGATTGACACAAGAAAGCGCTTGGAGAACTAGAAATACAGGAAACTGGATACCGTTGCTATACTTATAGCATTTCTATTTTGTGTCTAAAGTATAAAATGATGGAAACTGGATATGAAAATCAGATTCATAAAAAGCATATATGGTCAACAAAGTTGGGGAATCCAAATAAAAGCATTGAATTGTTGGCTTTTGTCTGATTAATTTGATTAAAGTTTTGAATACCACTGAGTGACGCGTAGATAGTACCTAAATGTAAGCTAAAATAATTTAACAAATAAAGAAAAATGGTAAATAAACTCCAAATGAATGAAATTCAACATCTTGGCAATGTAATAATACTACAGTTTCAATGGAGGTTAATCCTGTCTTGTTTACTCTAACGGCTAATTCTCTCAACCTATTTGGCTATACAACATAGCAAAATAGGCTCCCAAGACAAAATGAGCTAAATGTATATAATATTGCCTCACTGATAAGTACAAAAAGGATCCTCTTGGTTGCAGTGCCATTCAAAACGAGAAGATCCAGACCCAGAAGATCAAGTAACTAGTTAAGTTTTAATTCACTTATCAGTTTATAATTAAGTACAAGGATGGTTTTAGAATCAGCTCATAAGCTGACTGTATCTTCTTGAATTATGCTGAAACTGAAGGTACTCTTGCCAATTCTTCAATACCGTTGAGGAAGATAACATCAATGGGTCAATAGACCAAATACGTAAATATATTTCTCAACAAGCATCAACAATAAATTCCCCCCGTTTTCAAATGGCAAAACAAACACAAAGTAAAATTATCAATGTAAATCTGGACTTGCCACGTAACAATGTCTCCATTATCAAATGCAAATGCATATCTTTACACTAAAACATACATCCCTTTGGAGTAGTTATATAAAAAATTCAAATAATGTCCTTGAGAATTTAAGAACGCATAAATATTACCTCAGTAAGGCGAATAGACATTCTGTGTTGCGTATGCAGCTTGCTCTGGATACTCAAAATTTCCAAATACTCCCTCGTGTCCTGCGGGCATTCCTGCGGGCCACGAGACTTTGGCTACCATTGTCTGTGCAGTTGTAATTGGTGCATAACCTGCTGGATAATTGCCGTCATTTGGTCTTGAGGTGGTTACAGCTGCAAGACCTTGAAAGACGACAATGCGTTAAGTAAAATGAGTTGTGCGAGTCATCGTAAAAGCTCTTGTAACAAATTAAAACACGGACTGCTTTGGGATATTATAGAAAAGGGGGTTAGAACAAAGAGGGCTCTTTTGAGTGAAAGAAAGGGGCGAAAACGTCAATTTGGTGATTACCGCTATCATAACACAACTGACATAGCGAGTAGTGCTGAATACTGCATAAAGTTTGGGCCTTCCTGTCCCTCGAAGTAATTAGGACAAAAATTCTCAATTCCTTGCCAGGTTTGATATATTTTGAAAAAAATTTAAACCTTGAAATTCTTCAAACCATTGACTCGTCATAGGAAACGCAAAGGCTATGATTGTTGAATAAGATTTCTTATATATTAGATTAATTAAGATTAATTAGAAAATATTTTTCATCGTACCTGGTGCAATAGCACGAACTTGGTAAGGAGCAGTGGTTACCACGGGGGAAAGCTGTGGAGAAGTACTTGATTCACCTGGGGGTTAAAATCAAAACGAGATTTGAAAAGTCAGAAAACGCTTAGACACTTAAATGATGGGATTATGTTCACAAGGACAGCACATCAGTGCCACGAACATTGGCATTTGGACGATTCTAAGGCAGCCTTTCCACTAGCCCGGGTTAAAACATATCCGGGTTAAAAGTTATCCGTTTTTAAAGTGAGTCAATGGAAACGGCAATTTTCTTCGACCCGTTTTTAATCCGTTTTAGATCATTCCCACTTAGCCGGGTTAAAATGTATCCAGGGTGAAAAGTTGTAAGAGAAATCAGTATTTGCATCCACAAATACTTGAATTTCTATCGTTGTAGGCCAATGGGAGCAACATTGACATCCAGGATTTTGGTTTTTTTATTTTTGGCGCCATCTCGATTTTTAAACGTAAAAATTGATTATAGTAACTGAAAACACATTATAGTAACTGACGAACTATGTCACGCAGGAAACAAGGCAATGTAACGTCTAAAGCAGGTAGAGTTTGATAAAATACAGTATAATCACAACTCAAAAATCTTCTAAAGTTAGCGAATGTTCGATCATATTGGAAAAGGGGAATGGTTCGAGTGAGGGAAAGTAGAAGCCTTCTGGGGGTCCGGTAATAGAGGGCTCAAATGTACTGTGGAAGGTTCAAAAGGAATGGTAAATCAATTCGAGTCATTGGGGATTCAAGTTGTATTGGTACTGTCTTTTCACTCTGGGACATTTTAGATGATAACTTAAACGTACTAAGGCTAATGCAGAATAAACGAGGGTCAAACAAGTCTTGACTTATGCTTGACTCGCTATCTTCTCTCCGACCGGTGTCTTCTTACCGCTGGCGTGACTGAACAGTCAACGTGACAACTTTTAATAATTTAAAATGTTTTAGATTGTTATTACAAACAGAAGTTTCGCAACGAATCTGAGTTCAAAATCAAATGTACATACCAAGTTGGCTTATTGTATACTCTGCAGCATATCTTTTTGCATCTTCCAAAGTGCGACACAACTTGGGAGGCTGGTACGTGGTGCCAAGAAGAGGCAAGGTGACCTATTTTCAAAGCAGGTTAAAGCAGGTTAAAAGTCTGGCAACTCAAAAGAACGGATGTGGAAAGAAACCGCAGACATTAAGAATCTGGGTTCTGAGGATTGCAGCTGCATAGCAGGTATAACATTTCTTAGCTTTCCTTGCAGAACTGCAGAAATGCTTTAAGGCAGGATTTGCTTATAACACACAACATAAAGTCCTAGCATTATTAATAGTAATAATACTTTTGATTTTAAAGCTAACGTTCTGTATTGAATATACCTGTGTTTAAATTATCTAGCTTATGAGGCTAATAATCAACCTGCAAGACAGTGGTTTCTGGCTTTAAATTAATGTTTGAAGTAGAGTATATTAACTCTTTACCTTATACAGGAAGAGCTGGCCGTCACTAATGACAGTGCTGTGGAGAGTGTAAATGGGCGTTCCCCAATTGTTCTTCTGGCATAGTTCCTCAAGCAGCTGTGTACATGATGGAAAACATTAAGACAGGCTCAATTTGGCAAAACGCAGTATATACAGTGGCGGACATCTGGGGGGCGGGCAAGGGGGCGACCACCTTAATAAAAGAATAGGCTTGCCCCCAATATTTCACTAAGTGTCCGCCCCTGAGTATATACTTAAATTTATTTTAAATATAGAATAGATATTTACTGAAAAATTTGCAGTGCTTGCAGATGAGCTTCTAGGTTATGGACCAGTTACGATATTCCAACACAGTAATCGAAAATTGATTGCAGGGGTCTCCTTAGAAAAATTATACGCGCGGTTACATTTCTAATAGGTAGAAACAGGCGTGCTCCTCCCCTGTCCACATGCATCCTACGTCTCTGTCTATGATTGGGCCTTTCTAACAGTAATCGATAACAGTTTTTTGGCGGTACATAACTTGAAAATGGCTTTGAAAAAAGCAAACAATTCACAACATATTAACTAAAAGCTTTTTCGTCTGACACTCCTCAGAGCATAAAACGTCAGAATAAGGATCCGAAATAACATGATGAAAAATATAAACCCAGTTGTGGATCGAAAAAGGCCAATCAGAAAAACGCAAGCACAAGACCGGTATAGTTAACCAATCAGTGCCGCGTGCCTAAAGTTGACCAATCAGTGCCGCGTAATTGAAAACTGCGTTATACTATTTCGAATGCAGAATCTGCATGGACAGATTGCTCATTATTCATGAATCAAATTTCATTGCGCATGCACTTTCAACTTTCATTGAATGAAAGTTCTATAAAAACACCAATCGGAATAAAGGTCTTTTCGTGATGTTGAAAATGGCGGTTGTCTGGAAATCCAATACGGATCCATTGGTAAATCTCATCTAAGAGAGATTCCTTTACATAAGGGCAGAAAATAACCTGTAATTTGGCTGGGTCACCAAGGAACGCCATATGTGTGGTGTACATGCGATTTTATTAATACTTGGATAAATGATGTCTGATGCAACTGCCTTTACAATACAAAGGCAGAAAATGATCTTGCTATGCCTAATACATGAAACCGGATCTTAGATGTTGGTTCCATATCAATTGGATTATGGATTTTTCTGTTTTTAGTAAAACACAAAGAGACGAGAAATACGGTCAGGTCGTTTTTAGATTCAATGAAAAAGTCACAGGGCAAATTAAGGCTTCTTTGACAATTCAGCTAAAAAAATTACCTGGATTGGTGAACGATTTGTTTCTGGTTTCAAAGTCAAAGGATTTGTGGGTGTCAACTCCATGCCAGGTATCAAATCATACAAACCATCCTAATGCAAAAAGAAATAAAGTAAAGAAAGAGATCTCTCAAGATACAAATACAAACTGTGTATCGATTTAAACAGGTAATACTAACGGGTTTACAGCACAAGAAAAAAACAACCTCTTGTATTCGAACTAGATAAGAACTCTAACACTTGCTTAAAGTTGGGCTTGGATAGAAGGAAAGCTTTGAGGAATGCTCTTCAGATTCAGCATCTTATCTAGAGTTTCACAAGTTATGTTTTCTTTATTGGCCGCTTTTCGATAATATTTAGAAGGTGCATTCTGAAGGAATCACATTAAAGTGGAACTGAAAATCTTTTTTACGTTTATAGCAAAATGATGCATTCAAATCTTGCTCTAGTGTTAAAATCTTGTTTGCCTTCTAAAGCTTCGTAAATTGGTCAAGACATACCCACAAGATTAGTTTGTTTTCAAATTTGTTTTTTGCAAAAACTAACTGTGCATGTGCGACTTCAATTAATTTTGAAGTGCTATCCCACTTCTCATAAAAAACCTTAAAATGTTATCCTTTTATTAAGAATAATTCCCCTCTTTCCGATTTACGAGCCTCTGGCCTGCATTTTCTTCAAAAGTTACATCAATCTTTGCCTGAGTATCATTGTCTGATTATTAAAAACAGTAAAATTGGTCGGATTTAACAGTAGCTACTTCTTCAGAATAACAAGACTTTAGTAAACAGTCGAATGGCTTTAAAAGTAATCTAAGCTCAAAAAGACATGATAACAGACGGGAAATGATGTGAAATTTCCAGGTTTAATCAAGCCTTCTACAGAAATCAATTGATACCTTATCTGTTAAGTAGGGTTTCATCTCTAAACTAAATTACCTGACGCCTTCGAATCCGGTAATTAGGACCATTGACATAGCCCGGAGAAACTGGGGTAAGTGATGGTAAAAATCCATTCAGAAGATAGGCCCGACCGCCTGCGGATCTTGATCCGGCTGCCGTTCTACCACGGCCCCGCATTACGGGCCTGACGCCAACTGGGCTCCTAGAGCAAGAGAAAACGAACACCGTTAATACGAATCCGGATTTTGGTAGCCCGGTTCAAAACCCGACTGTTCATTTGAAAAAAGAGAAAAATGTAAATTTCGGAGAATATCCTGGATTGAAGAACACATAATGGCTAAGAGATTCGTATGAACGAGATTGTGGTTCTCTTTGGCAGATAGCTTGCGTCAAATACTCCGCGCAGAAAATGTCAGTTCTATGGACAAAGTCTGGAGTTTATATAACTGATGTTGAAAATAGGGTTTGTCAATTCGTAGAAAGCTTGTCAATAGACCAGTTCTAAAGCAATATTGTTCAGCAATATTGTGCAACATGATATATATGAACTCTCTCTTAATCGTCACATCATATATGTTGTCTGCTCATGTACATACAGATTATGAAACATCTGACAACATGCTGTCCTGTAAAGTTAAGAGCAGCTCGATCTTGCTAGCCTGCGTCACAGGCCAAAAAACTTCACGGAAGTTTTTGGTCTGTGACGCAGGCTAGATCTTGCATGTTACTCGCGACCAGTCCTTGCGCAAGCTTTAGTCAGCAAAGACGGAAGACGGTGCTAATACTGTGGAATCCGGCTATTGCCAACACTGCTAATTACGAAAATACCGCCGTTAAAAACTAAAATACTTTTCCTTCGATTCTGACATAAACGTTTTCAATGACTGACCCTGTGTTACTTATAGCTGGTTTTTGTGCAACATTCTGCGAACAAGACCGCTCGAATTTGGGGGAAAATAAAGCATTACAGACTTTGCAAAAGCCATGATGCGTGGTGCAGCCAGAACATTTCTGTTAACTTACTCCTCGATCCCTTTTAGTTTTCAGTGACAAATTACTCGTTTTCTCGGCTACCGAGTTCTCAGTGCTTGTACCACCAGAGCGTTTTGTGGCTTTTGAAAATCAAGATCATAAAATGGGATTACATTGCATAAGAAGATGGCTTTTTTTGTATTGGGTATCAACTTCGTCAAATATTTAAACGATCACCGAGAAGCAAGTGTCTCCAGAGTTTGAATGAGACAAGAGAAAGAGCATCCTGCGGTTATAGCACGCCAGATTGTCGACTTAAGACAGGCATTGAAAGCCAATCAGCTCTATCAGAAAACGTTTACATGGGAGATTGGAAGCTTAGAGACCGTTATGCTAGCACGCGCACCGGGCGTAGGTATGCGTATTTTGAGATCGCTTGGATCGCAGAAAATAAACTTCAAATAATATTTTGGTGGTGCGAAACTTAAAAATATCTTTAATAAGAGCTAACATTTTAAGTCATTCTAAAGCTTTTCATCTGACACTCTTCAGAGTATAAAACGTCAGAACACAGGTCGAAGGTGTCGGACGAAAAGCTTTTTAGTATGCCTCAAAATGTTTGATTTTTTCAAAGCCATTTTTAAGAATAAACCTCGCTCGCTTTGGTTGAAACTCTTTTAAAAAAGGCGAGTGAACTTAATTCCTATTTCTTTCATTGGTATCCCAAGTCCTGATAGATTCTATTCCCACAGACAAAATACACTATTACACAATACATCATAGATACAATTTCAATTCTTCACGACTCCTTTTATATTCCATAGGCAGTAACCCAAGAAATTCGTACTTAGCTGGCTAATGGGGGGTAATCCAAAAATTCTATGGCTAGATACAGAGGGCAAGCTTAAATTTGGCCATGTATAAGAAAGTAAGACAGAAAAACCCGCAAAAGGTCATTTGAAACATAGCTTTCTTAGAGATCTTCATCGCAGATTTACAGTTATACAACCGGTCTAGAAACGGCTACCAGAAAACGTCCCTAAAGATATATTTGTTGGTGTTGTCAAAAATTCAAGGCTTCTTCCTTAAAGAAAAGCCCAGCAGAACTAGAGAATTTTCGGGGAGTACGTTTGGAATTTGCCAATTGCAGACGCAAGATAAAGACTAACCCCGTTTGGTAAACCAACATTTTTAAAGCACCTAATATTTTTGAACTATCACGAGTCTGACATGAACAACATTTGAAACATGGAAGTTGGGTGACCCAACACGGTTCTTGAACGATCCATCATTTCAACCAACACCTATGAAATACTGGATAGTTTAAACAGGACTTAACCGTACAAACACATTTTGGGATGTAGAAACCGGAACTTTCATGGCCTTATATTTTCGGCTGATTTTCTCAAACGGATTAAATGCTAAGGCGAAATTAATTAAAATCAGTCACATGTTGCTGGTTGCGTCAAACACATTTATTCGGGTTCAAAGTACCAAATCAAATGAAGGGGCAGCCAGTCATGAGATTGCACAATTTCAACGCAAAACCAGATTTCTGCTCTTGGGGCATTTTCTAAGTTCAACAAAACAAGTAGCTCTTACCTTTGGGCATATCCGGGTGGGTACACCATGCCTGAAGGGTATTGACCCCCAAATGCATAGGGAGATGCAGGCATTTCTGGTACCACCGAATAGTTCTGGTAATTTTGTGCCATTTGCAGGAGCTTTGACAATGCCCGTTGTTGCCTGTAATGCTCCTTATCGACTGGTTTCGCAAGCGTAACTTCGACATCTGCATCGTCGATCTTGCGACCTGAAATTGGTAGCAATGATAAATTTTAACTGTCAAAAAAGTGTAACCTGTCGTATAATGCATGGGGCAATCTATTCTTGCAAAAACGTGCGAGATTTTTACCAAAAAAAAGATTTCTGGTGTTTGTCAGATAAAACAAAATGATTTCCACTTAAATTGTATGAAACTTCCATTTGCTCTCGATAGTGTAGAAATTTTGGTGCATCTTTACATGCCTGTTTCCTTTTTATTACCATTTTTATCAAGTGACCTTCACACTGGCTTTAAGTATAAATAGGCCGAAAATTGTAGCGACGCCGGCAAAATGAAACAGGCCTACGCTGGCCTAAATGAGGATAATCTTTCGTATTTCGTTGCGAAGATGAGATTAAACAAAAAGTAAATGATCAACATAAGAACCAACGCAAACTGAAGTAATTACTCTGAGTTGATCCTTTATTTAGCAGTGCATTCAAACTGTGGCTAATGTTTTATTGTTAAAGTAAACATGCACCATAGAAGAGACAAGGCTTTACATAATGACAAAAGACCACTAAGGGCTGTCATTGGCTCTTGTCTTAAAGGCTACTGAATGACGACTATATTTAACAAAGGGGAACATGTTTCAGTGGCTGCTAGGCATTCCGTAGGATGAGCATCTCTACAGTAGAAAATATCTTCAAAGGTAGCGATGGTCGTAGGAGCTTAGTGTAGGATATCAAGGGTAGTGGCGCAGTTGAGAAGATTTTGAATTGCTGCTAGAGTTGAGAAATTGCATCATCACTTAGGTAAGATTCAAGCAGCACCTGTTCATACCCGTAATGTGTCAACCGCGATGAGATTCTATTCAAAGCAAAGGTTGGTAAAGGAATGCAAGTTTTAATGAGGCTAGATTCTGACGACTTTACGTTGGCCGTAACAACAGTTTGACTAATGATTACCTCAACCGTTGCCCTGTACTAGCGATAAATGGAGCCTAATTTACAAATGCCTCAAGAAGCAAATCCAATGCATGATTAGATCCAGGTCATTGGCATCGTGTGTCTTTCTTTAATTCTCTAATTTATAACGAGCGATTTGACTTGTCTGAGCGCCAGTGGCAGCTTTTAGAGAGCTAGGGGGCAAGGGTTGGACAAACACCCCCTGCAGCAAAAACTAAAAGATGCAAGTAACACGTACGCTACAAGGAGGCAACGGTCACACTTGATACAAATTGAAACAGCCAAAAAACAATATTTTGTGCCTATGACGAGTAATGTAGCCAACTAGTATGAATGTAGCTACCCATTCAAAGAGAAGTCATTAAGCTCAAGGGCTCAGCAGATTGTGCAGAGGTGTAGCTGAACTTGAACCGATTGTAATAATACTCGATATTGCAGTTTCTACTATCCATGACGATAGACACCCAAACCTCCAAAGATAAAATACATACGATTTCATAAGAATAGATTTAAGAATAATTTTAAGTCTCAAGATTAGGGGAATTTAAGAATCAACTTAGAATTATAGCCAGGCTTGAATTCAATCAACAGTTTGACTCTCTATCCTAACTGAGATTTTTCAGCGTGAATTTCATGCAAAAAGTTTGAAGAATAAAACTCAAGCTTGTATTGTAACTTATATTCTAGATTCTTACCAAATTCACACGTTGTGTCACTTAAGAATGACTTAAGAACAATTTTAGGCTCGGAATATGTTTCAAAATATTGTGGATTTGCAACGTATTCTTACAAACAGTGTGCAAACAGAATCCCCTATCAAAGGATGAGCGTTTGCAAAGATGTTTAGGTGATTGCTTATAGAAAGTGGAGATGGAGGCCCATTCAAAGATTTACAAGTGACTACTTGCATATCTAGGCTCTAAAAATAAAAATAAAACAGAGAAGATCTAGAGATTTGGTACATACCCCGATGGGAAAAGATTAAGACTTACACATAACCTAAATGTGCCGCAAATCGCAAGGAAATGCAGATAGCCACAAATGTGAGTCAATATCGATTCAGCTGAATGCCTGATGATGTCACTGGTGTTGTCATTCAGACTTAGCACCATTGCTCGTGTTTGCATGGTAGATCGCACAAGCAAGTGATAATCCATATGTCCAGAGTGGATGGCAGCAGGAACACAAACCAACAGATACCACATCAGTCGAGGTAACCGGTTAAGATTAACTACGGTTGAATCCCGTTAAGTTGGACCATCAAGGGCGGTAAGGAAAACATCCACCTTAGCGAAGGTCCGAATTTAAAATCAGTCTGAAACTGAGAGTCCGGGGCAGGACCTGTAGATGCAAATGAACCAAGTCTATTTAAACTGTTGAACTCATCATGATGGTGCGAAACACTCTCTAAAATGGGGATAAGTTGAAAGAACTTTTTAAGACAATCACACGAGTGTGAGCTTAAAAACCCTTTCCTAAAAAACTTTCGTGATGGCCCTTCGCTTTCGAACTGAGGCGTCTTAAATTTTTATTCCCCTCTGAAGAGAAACCATACGTCAGGTAGATTTTCATAGACTTGTCAGCAGGGATCTTATGATTCATGACGGAGATCACAACGACAACTCAAGGTAGCCTGGAACTAGCGCTTCACTCCAAGGACACCTTCATTTTTCGACGCGTTGAAATTGAAGAATTTTTCGGATTCTTTAACGTCTAAGGACTATGAGGAAAAATGTTTTGTAGGATTACACCTTTTTATATCTTAATTTGCATGACGACAGTTGACAAAAAAGTGAAATGTGCCTGGGCCTGTGCAGCAAATAATTGTAATTTTACAAAACAATATTTCGTAGATAATTTCGTTTATTTGACAATAAAATGCGATGATGGAAAGCTGCGACATCTGAGAGAATTTAAATTTGCAGTGGAGACATTTGAAGGCGCATTTACATACTGACCAATTGGTGTGGACAAATAATTTGGTAAAAGCAGAGAGATTTGCCAACTCAGGTCTTCCAAACGCTTCAGTGCCAATTAGGCCTTGGACAGACTTGATTATAAAATATGCCAATTCGCCATGTTGTTGGACAGACAGGATTTCGTCCGGACGGGGCTATATCGCTGATCTCGCACGGACAAGGTGGCACAAGAAAGACATCGTATATAGAGTGAGATATATTCGAGCCCCCGATTCGTTAACTCGAACAATTTTCATAGTTCCGTTGGAGGTTCGAGTTATGAGGGTTTTACTGTAGCTACAATAGAAATGACCTTACTCCACGCGAATCAACAAGTCAGCCGTCGTCATCATTTCCAGTAGTCACCAGGACTAATCAGTGTGAAGACCAATCTGCCAACCAGAATTTTAAACTCAAAGATGTGTGGTCTTCTGCACTCGACTTCAATAGTACCTTAGGTTTACCACCCGCTTTCCAGAAATGAAATTTATCCAGTCGGCGCGCAAACGCTGACCTTTACTTGCAAGGACACATTCCAACGCAGCATCCAATCAACCACAAGCTACGCAGTGACATAGGCTGAGAAAATCCTCTTACCATGTTTTATCGCCCCGGCTTCTTTTCTCTTTGAACATGCAGCAGGATCCTCTAAAGTGACGTTTTTGCATTAATACATCACCTTAAGTCTTATTTATTACAGGTGGGTTTTTATCAATGGTTGTCTTTTGGTCGACAAATTAAAGGCAGGTTCCGAGGGGTAATGTAGAATCTCTACCAAAATTGAATGATTTATAGGGAATTTCGTGATTTTCACCAAAGATGTACAAGATTTCCATGCAGCGGTTTCTCCCTGGGTGTCAAAGCACAAACCCTTTAGGAGCAAATGTAAAATACCTTCAAACCAATGATAAAAATGATCAATAAGTTCAACATATATAAAAGAGCTTTATGAGAGAAAGGAGGCTTTCAGCTGTATAGAAACAGTCGTATATCAATCAGAGTAGAGTTCGAGGTAAGATTTCATTTAGGCTCACAACGAGAAAGCATTTCCATTAGATTTGTTACTATCTTAACTCTTGAAACTTTATGTGGCAGTACATACGAACTACAACAATGCGCACCAAACTTCATTTCATTATCACCATTCCCGTCACTGTCCTAAAGACAAACAGCCTGGGCTCTAGTGCACAGACTACTTCCAGTAAGCAAAGCTTGTTTAGACCCATACACCCAAGAGGCGAAACTGGACTATTCGCTTGTGTAAATCAACGAGTAGATACCAGTTAAAACTCCAATCCCTTTTGGGGTGGATGGATGGCAAAGGCACACCCTCACAGTTGCTAGAACCGACCATTCAAAGCTAGAATTTGATGCTCTGCAAAATAAACCGTGGCCTAATATATCATAAAGAATTAAAAGTTGGTTAAAAATGAATCTATCCATGAAATATTAAACCTATCACAATATATGGCACGTGTCATTATAAAGTCAATGATTTCGAATGGAGAGAGTGACCAAAGGAGGTGCCATTGCCTTTCCTTTCATAAATCGTAAGTTTCCTTTGACATAACGACTTGCTCAAAAGATCACAACATCGTTTGCCTCCAAGAATATCATCAACAGCTGTTAGGGATACCCTTCTGCCTTGAAAATCCACTCGAGCTGACATAAAGGACGCCCTAAAAGCCAATGGTTTTCAGGTCTATGTAAACACCCCATTAGCAAGAAAATGATACGCGGTGAATGAACAAGAAGCCTTCATTGCAATACTTGACAAGGCCAAGCCACTTTCAAGAACAGCGCGAATGAGAGATGGGAGCTTTATGATATTGTTGAATCTTTTCTCATTTCGTCTTAAACAACAGAGGAGTAAATGTCAAATTGTGTTTCTGGTAGGAAAGTTGAAGAAACACAAGGAGTTACATAAATCATCACAGAAAAGGCTGGAGAATGAAAAAGGCCATTCAGGCTAGGGCATCAACTTCAATGCGACACTGTGCACATATTTCTCACCCAGACCTTTTAATTTTCCAAAAAGTGTTGGAACATAAAAGGATGACCAGAAACTAATGACATCGATAAAAGAATGTGCAATCACTTCCTATATTTGCTCTATCTATTCTTCGAACATTTGCAAGGCATTGCAAGCAAATCATTTATTCTTTTGGCGGGTTTGACAAGAAGATTTTATTAGGAGGGGGGCATCATGGTCCTACAAGATTTCGCAAACAGTCACTTTTTAACCCCGAACGGGCACCTTTCCACTTATTTTAACGTTTCAAAATGACTTCTTAGCTCTAGAGAGTTGTCTTTCGAGAACTGTGTCCCTTCAAATGAATTGCGATTTTCAAATCTCTGAGAGAAGAGCGATTATGTTTATCATCACTGATCAAAAGAAACTTAAAGTTTGATTTGTAATTACACAGCAGCAAACGGCATCGAAAGCTTTAACCAATCAAGGAGGTATTATCTCATGAACTTTAATGATTAGAGAGAGCCAACAGTGAAACTGAGCGGGCTGGATGAAAATGAATGAACCTTTGCCAGAAATGAAACGAAATATTTGAAACAATTCTTATCGGTTGAAGATAACAGTTGTCAACAGTGCCCTATAAACCGTCCCTCTTACATGCAAAAAGATCTGCCTGGACATGAACGACCTGACAACATAGTTACACCGATTACGGCAGATCACAGGAAAAACCGAGCCATTTGACAACCCTGAGGCCACGGTTAATTTACCAGAAACTCTTCTACGTCAGTTAAATCAAACTCTTATTAAACAAGGTCCGTTGGGCGTGTCCAAAATTTATCTACTAATTTTCTTCATGTAAAGTAAATCCCCTGTATTGTACATTGATTATTGACTGTTCTACACTGATTATCGACAGACAGGGTAACCACAAATCTATGTGTAAAGGCTTGATTCAAGCAAGGTTGATTAGTAATTAAGAAAATCAGTTAAATAAAAAGTTAAACGTGATAAAGAAATACCTTGCATGGCCTGAAGCGCTTTCCTGGCTCCTTCTCTTGTCGCAAAATGCACGAAACAGTAATCCTTGATTTTCTTGACTCTTTCAACTTCAGCATATTGTCCAAATATTTCTTCAATCGTATCTTCCGTCGTGTCTAGCAGCAAATTTCGCACATATAATACCTTCACCTTTAAAGCAAAAAACAGCAGTAAATATGCAGTTTCTAATAGGACTTTGAATAGTAAAATACGAAAATAACTCAAATTCAATTGCCTTAGATAAGATGTGGGGATGATTCAGTGGTAAGATTCGTAGACTATACAGACCCAAGGGTCCATGGTTCTAGTCCCTGGCATGACCAAACTTTTACTTAGATTCTTAGATACTTAAAACGGAGGTTCACCGGCTCTCTGTAATTCCAGACGTAGGAATCATGAGGCTTGGCACACCGAGAGAAAAGGACAAAACACTGCCCGATAAGCATAGCTCCTTGGTGTCCCAAAGCTACTTTCGAGCGCTAGGCAGCATAAAAAAGAAATAAAAATAACAAAAATCTTTTATATAAATTGTTTTTGTCATTTCACTCTCTATGAAGTGGAAAATGTAGTTGTAATAATGTATCTACATTATTTACATTAGCAATTTGCGTTACGCAGTCAGTTAATTAGTCAGCTACGCACTTATTTACAAAAAACTGGCTATTTTTACACACTTATTTTTCAAAATTGTTCTTAAACTTGGCGAGTCTTAATGTTGCTTGATATTAGTGAAGTATTACCAATCTTTTCACAGTTTTTCCCTCCTATTAGCAACAGTATAAAGACATTGTTCCGATCTAAACAAAACGAAAATGTTTGAAAGAAAATGCAATTTTTAGACTAGGATTCTGGAGTCCAGTCTACTAAAAACAAATGGCGAATGTAACTTAAAAACTATGCTACAAATGGCGAAACAAATAGAAAATCGGTTCAGTTACATAGCTTGGCAAACTAAATAAAATTCAACATAGGTCCATTAAAAATAGGTCCCTGAAAGCTATTTTGGACTGGGGTTTCTGGGACCCAATCGCTTCGAGGATATAGAGTACCGAAGTGTGAAGTCATCAAAAATATTTTTTAGAATTACTTAGATTTGATCACATAATCTGAAAGAACAGCATAAAATACCTCTTAAAATGCAAAATCAGTTAGATATGCTCAAAATTGGGCGAGATATGGCCAATGGAAGGTTTAAAGTTTGCTAACGGATTACTGGTATTCTGGCCTGGTTCATAAAGTTAGATCCAAGACCAAATTATAGAGGTTTGATGGGGCAAGATTCTGTGCTCATGTGGCCATATCTCAGCCAATTCGTAATACCTTTAACTGATTTTGCAGATTTAGAGGTATTTCATGATACTCTATCAGGTTATGGAAACGAATTTTAAAAATTCTAAAAATATATTTTTATGACGTCATCACTTCGGTACTCTATTATAATTTTAACCAGCGTATCTTTTAGGGCCACCACAATCACGTTTGAGCAGCTTCTTCACATTACGGTTAATGACGACAGACAGGTATTAAACATTGAAGTATAACTGCATAGCACAGGGGGGCTCCTTCAGCAAGTAGAGTATCACTTCTGAAACACACGGGGGTAACACTAATCCTCACAGTGTATTACCGTTTTCATTAGAGCGGGATAGTGAATGGAATTTTTTTAAAAACAACACATGCAAATATGCTTCAACAAGGATTGCCTTATGATAATGCTGAAAAAACACTTTTTGTCATGTGTAAACTGGAGAAACAATAAATTGTGTTTATGTAAACACGGAGAGAATCACTCGTATAAAGAGTCAGGCCTATGTCAAACATTAGGCTCCAGAATGCAAGACCTGATGCTGATTTGTAAAATAACACAACACTGCCTGAAAATTCCATAACTGTGTGAACGCCAACATATGGGGGCTAAGGCCTATTTAAACGATTTGCGTTGTTTTTGCTGCCTTGCAAAAAAGTAATAACTGAAAAAAGGCAGTAGAAGATTTTTCAGCTTTTCGTTAATCAGCAGAAACAAAAATTGAGTCGTGTAGCATACGATTGCGAGGGATGATATCAAGACTAAAAAATCCTGCTACTATATCCATGACATGCTCTAATTTGTTTTGCTTTTTTGGAAAATGTTTGGCTCAGGGGTCAGAGAGAATGGGTACAGCGAGGACCGAGATAGCGGGGGGCCAACGGGGCATACTTTTGCTTTATAAAATATGGCTGTTTATTATCAGGGCTGCTCCCCCCCAAAAAACAAAAAGTTGTATCTCGGTCTTTGGAGTACAGTGAATTGTCGGTATAAAGAATTTCTCGCTACTTAAAAATAGTTTGTGTTTGCAGCATTAACTTTGAATAATAGTTTGTGTTTGCAGCATCGTGGTAAAACTGCCTTTTTATCATATATGAATATCTATTGGCGTTTGCTACTTTATTAATCGAAAGCTGTACGTTAGATTTCCAGATATTTGAGCTCATGAAGAACAATTTGAAAGAAATAAAGTAGTCTTTGAACTGATTCGATAATCCAATCCTCTGCAGTTGAAATGACGTCTATTCTTTAATATCTTTTAGAAATAGATGTGGAATTATGCAGACAGGAATCTTACGGACCGGCAACCACGAACCGAGCATCTACTGTCAACAAACGAAGCTGTCCGGATCATGGTATTAAAAAAGGAGACCGCGATAGCACTAAAACGCGCAAATACACAACTGTACATTCACCTAATAAAAACTGCCGAAATAAAAAAGAAGATCACGCCTGTTCAAAGATAGATGGCGAAAATCCTACACAATAATGTGCCAATATTAAGCTGGATTAAAAAATGCGAAGACGAGCAATCCGAGGAAATGATTTTAATAACCAACGGGTTTGAGAAATGCTAGCACATCAGCTGCTGTAGTCAGGTGGTTGCTTTCGAGAAAGTATTCTGTCCACTCTAAAGAAAAAAATATTCTTCGCTGTGCGGGATGATATTCTTCGTCTCAAATGGTTGAGTTTTCAAATCGCTTTTAGCTCCCCATTACATCAGAATTTACAGCTACTTTTTATTTCATTGTGTCACAGAAAGATTAAGCTACCATTTTCAGCCAAATGAACTTGAAAACTCATTTTATAAACACTTTTAAAAGTTGTTTTATAACAATGTGCTCCAAAAACGTGAAGCTTTGTTACCACGTCAATAATAACTTGGGTGTAAAGAAAAATGGGGGCATTTCTGGGGCAAATGACGGGGCAAATGACGGAGCAAAGAGGGAGAGGTGCGGGGATTTATTCGGAAGTGGAAGAAAGTAATCAAGAAGAATTAAGAAGCATGTCAAGAAAAAATATGAAGATACTCATTAAGGATATTCAGAGCACCTCCTTTACGGCCAGCTGCCATCGGTTAAGAAAGCAATTAACAATAAAAAGAAAGTGCATAACAATTGAAAAAAAAATACAAAAACTAAGACCCTTGTTGAAAATGTGTATAAAGCTTGCTGAAAACTGTTTTGATAGCTTCAAAGAATTTTTAGGGGCATCTTCATCGCGCAAGAAGCTGTCCAATGCAAATTTGATTTCTTATAGACATCCACCAAGGTATTTTGTCATTTTAGTTGGATACTACTGCACAAAGTACACAAACATTGCATAAAATTAATGTCTTTCCAGTTCTTGGTGCGCGAAGATGCCCCCAAGGTTAAAAATGTTGCTCAAACAAAGAGAACAAGTGAGAGAAAGGAAAACAATTTACCAAGGGACTTTTGAATTAACAGCATTTCCAAGAAAAAGAAAATCGGTGCACGGGTAGCTCATGCCACGTCACGTGAAACTTGTGGTTTGGCCTGTCTGGACCCATCTTCTCTGCTCTGAGGGACAAGGATATAAGCAGGGTTTTTCGTGGGACAAAGGTGTTATTGGTCATGAGACAAGCGTGGCTGGCTTCGAAATTCGGCCCCAATAAATAATTCATTGCCACGTTTTTTAACTATCGACTACAAATAAAGTTGACTGAGAATGGCCCAAATTTTAGGAAAAGCAAGAGTTTGTTTTAAGAAATCAAGACAAATCTGCGTAGGAATAATTGTTGGTGCTAAACGTAGTTTATGTCCCCCGCATTGTACTAAACATTTTCTCAGGCTACCTTGTTCATGGGCTGCTAGGTGTTCTTAACAAACTTTTCTCTCCTTCGTACACGGAAATATGACTGACAGTGTACTTTCACATCAATTTTCTTGCTACGATAGATGAAAGAAAACAAGGAATTCTGCAGCCAGGAATTCTTACGAGGGATTATTCTTTTTGGCAAAAAGGGCATTTGTTTATGCTCATGTTGGAAAGTGTTGATACCAGTTAATCGTATAAGCATACATATACATATACTGTTTAGTTTCTACATCCCAAAGCGATGGCTAAGAGCACAACCTACAAAGTTATAACTGATGCTGGTGGTAGGGAAACTAAAATATCTTTCCACATGCTCCATTTTAGGAAGCGTTCAGCAGCTCCAAACAGTGACATGTATATGATCTGCAAAACAACCAGCAAATCCCAGTTTCCTCATACATTTAGCGAGCCCGAAACATTCAAACATCCCTCCAACATTCAGTTTATTTGCTTTACATTGCTGGTGGTGGCATGATGATCACAAATTTATCGATGCAGTAAAAAAGTGTTGTTTGCTTTGCAAATTACGAAAAATAGCTTTGTTATGCAAGGAAGATATGTACTATTAAGAACAAAGAAATTTTTCGACCATTATAACTAAAATACGCGGGACTTTAAGGGTGAAGGTTGGCCCATGATTCATTATACAAAATAGGGATTTTTTTCCCCCAGTTCCCACCAAAACAATATGGAACCGAAACAAATTAGAGTTGGTATTACCCTTTCGTATGTCCAGTGCAAATCAAGCAAGGTAATTTCAAAGCAAGGATGTTTTTGAAAATAAGCGCTCGAACTGCTTCCTAAAAATCCATTTTTGGAGAGTTTGGGTACTGAGAAAGAAAGCTGTCTATGCGATGGCTATTATCTGACACAAGTATAATCTATTTGATCCTAATTTCAAGGCAGTGGGACCGTACAAGCGGCATGCTTCGAGGGGTTGAATAAATCGAATTGCAGAAACAAGAAGGTTTGTCCAAGCCAATCAACGTATACGATAAACTTGCTTTAACCAATCAAATCACAGAACAGCTGATTCTACCTCAGTATTTAATCGGCAGTTTTAACGAACGGGCATATAACTGCAATTCATACAGACCAAACTGTGTTTAACTGTCCATTTAGGTATAAACCTACATTTTCCCATCACAAACAACTTCGGTCATTATCATTATGTTTACATGGGCTACTTCCGCTATGTTTTGGGAGTCTACGGCAGGGCATGATCATAATCAATTAGTGTATTTACATGTCGTCTGACAAACTGTTTGCATCACGTGTAGAACTAGCGATACTGCATCAAGCTACTGTTTGCAAAGCAAATGAAAAGATTGGGTGAACTCAAAAAAAACTTATTGAAGAGCAAATCAAAGATTCTTCATATAAAATTGAAGAACGAGGGTTACAATCTTTCTTCAAATATTTTAGAAATTTTATTGCTGGAACAAAAAAATTTGTTGGGACATTGAAAGGGAAAAGGTTCCACTGGGAGGAAAGTTTGAAACATATGATTCTGATAAGAGACTGGTTCATAAGAATGAAGCTAATAATGACAGCTGATATTTTGCTGGTACAGCCTCCAAAGATTATCATCATAAACAGTGAACCGAAAATTTTGTGCCAGGAATGGCCCAGTCTGTACTAAAAATCGAATTCAATAATGGCATCAAATACTATATTACACAAGAACGTCTTGATGGATCAAAAGAAGTACTTTCTTGAAACTAAGAAAAACTTATTACGTATTTCAAAGTTCGTTGTGTATTTAGTTTTCTGTTTTTGGATTGTTTGAAAATACACATGGAGCAACTCAAATGAAGATTGAATCTCCCATCTACTTTTTTGGATTAACAAATTTGATAAAAACTCTAAATAATCTATTAATCTGAAAGTTAGGGCATTTCCTTAGTTTCTAATAAAACTTTGATGCACTGTAAACTAGAAGCAAACTTGACAAAATGGCCATCAAAAATGGAAAACAGAACAATTTTGAAATTAGCTCAATTAAATCGAAATTATGAAAATCGGGCATCGTGTCCCCATCACAAAACTGGGGTTTTCTTGGGAATGCTGCACATGTTTTTAACTTTGCTGTTTTATTTGGAAACGACAACATCCCATACCTTTACAACTTAAATAACATTATTTATATATGACAATTCTTTATTTTGATGGAGAATCGTCATATGGTGAATGCAGCTTGAGGTAATTAAAAAAAGGTTTCCAGGTGTTATATATCGATATTTATTGGCAAGAGGAGAGCAGATTTCTGAGTTCCTTCCCGCTTTGTGCCGGATATTCACTACTGAATGGCTTTAGGCATTTCGCTGACCTTTGTACACGGAAGCGCACGAGGTCTCAGTCAATGGCCATTTTCTACAAGAAATATTGCACAAACATGTGATGTTACTTGATATCATTCAAGGGGATAATAAACACGAAACACTTCCCAGTTCAGTGGTGAAATTTAGTCCTGTTAATAAGCCTTGGTATTAATACAACCTGGGGGCTGAAACGTATTGTTTATTAGGTATTATCAACGAATAGAAATAACTCAACGTACAAATACGCGATGCCGCGGTGACAGTTACAGCGCAGTGGGACCTTGTTAGCGCTGCTGATTCCCGTGGTTTATTACCAAACGTACGCGAGGTTAACTAACTGGAAATCACATCGCAGGTCCCTAATGAGAAATCTCTAGTATATTTAGGCCATGGCAAATGAAACAAATACCTGCTCCATAATCTCTTCGTCGACGTCTTGTTCGGGCTCTGCCCAGTCAACAGCAATTGGATGCCCCCATAGCTGTATTCTTCCACTCATTAACTTTCGCCTTGCCATGGCTGCAGCTCTGTGATTTTCGAATTCAACGAAGGCAAAACCTCGGTTCTTCGTCTTGTCTGTTGCAGATGGGTAAACAATTACATCAATAACATGATCAGTAACTTTGGATATTTCGTCCAAAATTTCATTTCTTTTCACTTTCTTCGGTATTCCACCAACGAAAAGTCGGCAATTATCAACAGACTGACAGACACCAAGTAATCTGCCTTTTCTAATTTCATGGTTGTTTAGAGTTCTAACGGCCTTTTGAGCGTCTTTTTTCGTGAAATATACGACAAAGGCATACCCTCTGTTTTGACCGTTGAAGTCCATCATCAAACGCATTTCATAAACTTTCCCTACAGTTTCAAATACTGGAACTAGCTCATCTTCGAAGCAATCTCGTGGTAATTTGCCAACGAAAACTTCACATCCACGTGTGGGAGTTGGTCCAACGAAATTCGACGGTGGGCCAAACCGCCGTTGTCCGTTATTCTGCGTCATTGGATAACCAGTTTGCTCCATCAACTCAAGAAGAGCTTTTTCATTCGGGGCACCGGCAACAGCGTCCTTGCCTGTTCTTTCCACTTGCTCTCCCTTCAACGATGACATATCTTGATCGGAGTCGCTATCTGTAGACACTTTAACAACCATATTTCTTGTAATCTTTCCCGTGCCTCTGTTCTGTGTTTTCTGCAGCCGTATCAACACGCGGAGATTCTTAATACCAACCCTGACAACTGACTTGCTGTCTAAAGTCAACTCTCTTAGTCATGTGACCTGATCTTGATTGCGCCAACACGGGGGTAGCTCTACCTACCTCTAAATGCTTTCTAGCATCTATCTAACAAGACGGGGTTTTATAAACATAGCAAGCATCACGATTAGGCATATCCTAACTCTAAGTCTAAACTGGCCCTAGTTTTCTTTTATGCTGGGTAGCTTCTCAACTCCGTATTCAAATATTTTGAAATTTGAACGAAATATCTCAAGTTTCCAACTTAATCCCAAGATAGCAACAACCGAGAGGCTATCAAATACATGGAATCTTAGAAAAGTGGCTGGAATTCAGAAACACATCTGTATGTGATATGCTTTCGAGCTAATTTGACTCCGATAGTTACCTGTGCGGTTCTGATAATACAACCGTTCTATGGCTGAGCAGTTAAATGTGTTATCAAAGTACATTCTTTTTATAAGAACAATTTTATAAGAACACGAACTTAAAAATTGGTCAGAAGTTAAGAATAATTAAGAACAAGCTGAGGCCTAGCTACTGTAAAATGCAATTTTGAACAATGTTTCATCTCAAAAACGAGGAGATTTTACAATCTAGGGGTGCAAGGGCTGAACACTTCTCTAGAGCGCAATAGCTAGCAATTGTACTTACACCCTCACAATTTAAGAACAAGAAATGAAAAATCCAGCCTCAGATTTTCTAAAAACTCAAGAACAACCAGCCTGAACTTCAATTTGCTGGTTCTTAAAAAGTGTGTTTCCAAGAGTTATAATAAAACAAATAAAATTTAACAAAAAAATACAACTTTTAAATAAATATGACTCTATAAAAATACGAGCCCCAATTTGGTCAAACGTCGCAAAAATTAAGAACAATCTGTGGCTGAGGTGCTGGATAAAATGAAAATGCAAAAAATGTTTTAAGGATATATTTCTCAAAAGACATGATTTACTTATTCTAATATTACTAAAAACAACACCTGCGGTAATACACATCCAATGTTTTTCTGCCTTGTATCTAGATTTTTCACAATTCTTTACAAGAACAATTTTATAGGAAGTCAAGAGTAAGAAACAAATTAAGAACAAGCTGAGGCTGAGCTACTGTGGAATATAATTTTAAGCAACTTCATCTTGAAATGAGGATTTTTAGCCATGTGTGGGTGCTTTTCCAGATAATTTTCAAACTTGTAGGCAAATGAGGCCTGAACACCCCCTGGAACAATTGCACTGCTAACACCTTATTGATTTAAGAACAAATTAAGAACAATCCAGTCTCAGATTTTCGAAAGAATTAAGAACTGTCAGCTTCAATCTACTGGTTCTTATAAAAAAGAGTGTATTTATCCTATACCCTAATCTTTAAGAAAAATTCTTTCGAAAGAGTTTCTTACAAACAGTTTCGTCCAGTTTTAAAAAGTTTTTAAAGTTTCTAATAAATAGCTTTGTATATGCGTATATAAATCGTATATGATTGCGTCTAAGATGCCACGCATTTTTTTTCTCCAAAAGAAAAAAAGGAAAGTATACAGGATAAATGGGTGATAAAAAATGAAAATGGTAATCCTCCAAAATACGAAGAGGTAGAAAAAAATAGTTTTACTGCAAAATTTATGACACGATCAATAGAGCAAAGCTTTTTGAAAATACCTTTTAATTTAAAATTGTTCTCTGATTTTATACAAAGGTAGTTGCACTTTCTTGTCATTTAAGAAAATTTTACCCTTTAGAGAAAAAGACACCAACAAAAGGCTGTTGCATTAATCTATACCTGTAGACAACGATATGTTTTACATCGTTTGAAATTCGCGTGATCTTTGGAATAAGACGATTTCTCGCCAGCCTTTGGCCATGACACCTAGGTGGTGAAAAATATTGCTTGGCGTTTCAGACTATGAACCGTATTGCAATGTGGCACGCATCGTTTGGTAACCAGATACCACACCCCCCGTGCTGCAGTGGGCAAACGTTGGAAGTAAACATGAAGATGCTTGGGTAATCGAAAATCCATGAGATATCTGAATTCCGTCACAGCAATGTTGAAAAAATATATGCTGCGTAGGCTCCATTCGAATAAGGAAGATAGTCATGTGACAACATGTGGGCACGAGACAAACAGCAGAGACCTGTCCAAGATATCTGACATGATTGTCTTGCATGCATGATTTTGCAACTTGCACCGTTTGGTTAGCGGACCCCTGACTGAATGAATACTGCAATCGTCTCAAGGCTGCTTGCTGTTTGAATACGAGAAAAAGCATATAGTCCACTATTCAAAGGCTAGTTTCCAGACAAGTAGAGATCAAATTAGCTTTCTTTACTTCTCAACCACTTTGCTTACAATTGATAACATTTCTTGTCAGTATCTTTTTAACTCATCACCAAACAATTTACTTTTAAAACAAATGCTGAAAAACATTTCTTCCGCAATTTATTGAGGTTTTCATACTATTCCTAGCATTATTGTTCTCGTGTGTCTTAGATTGACATATCCAGCAGAAGGAAGACCGATATTTTTTGCAGGACGCCACAGACTAAAGAAAAGCTGCTTTAAGAAAAAAGTGTGTGAAATGGGGATGTGCAGCACTTTTGCTTAGATCTTGGGTGCGACGAGGCTCCTTTGAAAAAAACACAGGTAACCAAATAACACCAGTTTCTTTAAGTTGCACTTATCAGGCCCTTCTAAATGCTCCAAAAGTACGAGGTACCTACAATTAGTACCAAACGACATTAGCAGCTACAACATTTGTGTGTTTCGAGGTGGCAAGCCATAGTAAAGTAATCTACATATGAATACATGGAGCTTTTCCACTCGATTCATTCGAGCTATTGGTATCCAGGGTTGTGTAGTGGCTATGCCATACGGGGCCTGGGACTGACTCCAATCTCGGGCACACCCTTGGACACCCTTGCAGTACAAGTAGGCTTGCAGTGCAAACACTCAAACATTTAAAATTCAATACAAATAGCAAGACAAGTTAGTAGACGGAATTTCTGATAAATAACGCAATAACGATATTATTTTATATAGACAACTTCGAACATGCAACATCAACAGACACATGTCAAGGTAAATATTGTCGTCTTCAAAATGAAAACTCAGATTGTGAAAATTTGAAGCCAAAAGGACGATTTGTGCATGGGCTGATATATAGGGGGCAGTACATTTGAAGTGATGAGTTTATACGTACCTAGAACCTGATGAATCAACAAATCAGGGCAAAAACCTTTGCATACGAAGTGGTTGATTGCTAATTTGAACGGACAGTGTTAATATGATGAAGTTGTCAGCGCTGACAGACATGGTGGGCAATTATTTTTAGCATGTGCGGGCAAGCTTTCGGGGTATTTTTATAGGCGCCTGGTTACTTAATTTCAAGCTGGTTATCTAATATCACGGGGGTGTTAAAGAAACGACAAAAAGACCAGGTTTCTTTGCAATACATTTGCAGTATTCTAGCGACAGACGGGCTAAATTGATGTCCCTTATAGATGAATGATACCCAAACTAGATTTCTGAATTTTAAACAAACTTTAGCAACCATGCCTTTCCACATCATCAACCCAAAATGTGTTCAGGGGTCAGGAGCCCCCACCCTGCCCGATCCTGCCCCTAATGCCTGCAATTCTCCAGGGGTAGGGGGGGGGGTCAGATATTTTTTCTTAAAGAAAATTTTAATAAGAACTTCTACAAGAAATAATAGCATTTTCAAAAAACTTAGGGATTCGGGGAGGCTATTTCCCCTCTCTTCAGACGCTTTATACTAACAGGCAAAATCCCCTTTTATGAGGCATCGAATTCCATAACATTTATCAACATAGTCTGGAGCCTTTAATCTAAACAGACATCATGAAAAAGGTGCGTCTCTAAAAATCATAGTGTTTATCTTTTGCTTGTTGCGGTGCAGACTTTATACCCCATACCCCGGCGCTAAGCGATATGTTGTCACCCAGTAATAGAGTATCGCAATTTCTATTTCGCGTGATCAATATCTTTGTTCTCAGGGTACTTACTTTGCTTATTTTTACTGTTTCCACCAATTTACTTGCTGCAAAAGCAGGTCAGTTAAAAAGCAACGCACGGAGCTTACTTGCTTCAGCAAAGGGGTATGAGCAAAAACACGTAGTTAAATCCATTGGAAATACTGTTAAAGCCCTGACGTCACCTGCCTTCCTTTCTTTCTTGCCAGTTTGGTAGTGGTGAAACATTTTCTTCTGCTAAGTTGCTGAAGGGCCACTTCAAGTATCGTAAAAACCTTGGAAGGCTGATATCGATGCTTTCCTCGAAACGACAAACAAACTGGCGTATCTAGTTCAACACACACTTCCCCCTAACCACGCCCCAAACCCTTTTATCGCATAATTTATGGCACTGTGCCCCTTTTCGGTATAGCAAATTTTCCCCATCACTTTAAACACGAGTTACTTTGAGCAAGTTTCTTCTTGCAAAACCAATTTTGTTTCTTTAAGTAAAAAAAGTTTTAAAAAAGAAACTTCTTAGACGAGAATTTGAGTCAGCACATAGAGGTCTTACAAAAATTGTCTTGTCTAAACACGGAAGCTATCTGTTACAGATCCTCAAACGTTTTGAATTATAGGTAATAGTGAAACTGCCACCTTAATTGTGAATAAGAAATATAAATGAATCAGTAATTTTAATAAAAATCAGTTTTTGCAAACGTGTAAAAGGACGCTATTATCATACGAACCTTGCAGAAAAACGTATGAGAAGAGGCGTCAAAAACCACCCTCGAAGGTCGTAAAGAATCGGTTCTTTTATATATAAGGAGGCAGTTTTACTTAGCAGAAAATGATTAAAGTTTTGTGAAAATAATTTACACACTTTCTTTGCGAATACCTAATTTTTTGCTGGGCCTCAATATTCTTAATTTTTTTTCATTTTAGGTCTAAGATTATTCTTAAATTATTATTAAGTTACACAAGGTGCAACCGCGTTGCATTATAGTTCAAATGACTCCAGGGGGGGCCAGATACGTCTATTTCAAAACATAAAGCATGAAACTCCCA